GTAAAAACTATTAAAAAAAGAAATGAATAAAAAAATTAAATAATTAAACCGTGATAAACCGACTTCAAAAAATCGTAATAAAGAGAAACGACTGAAAAAAGAAAAAATACCACAAAATTTTATCTTCAATAAAATCGAAACACATAAAGTGGATCAGTATACATGTATTAACTATGAAGTGGATACACCAACATTTTTTTTTTTTTGAGTTCGGTTTCAGCCGTGTCTCTAATAAGAAGTAAACAGCACTGTCAAAAAATGAATCTGATAAATAAATGATATCAAATCAAATCAAAATTATTTATTCACTCTAGGCTGTTACAAGCGCTTGTGAAAGTCGAGATTATTATAATTACTATTATAAAGATCATTCTTATAATTATCTGCCACCGATCTGAACAGAAAATTGTTGGTGTATCAACTTCATAGATAATATATATATTGTACCCTCCGGAGAATGAAATGGTAAGTAATATAACGACCTTTTTATTTTTTTGCATTTTTGGCTTCTAGGGTTCATTTACTATCTCCTCAATTTATTTTACATTTTTAGGTCTAATATTAATGAAATTAAACAATATGACAGTTTTTCTGTAAAACAAAGATTTACCAGATATACATATTCTGTGATAGTGTAATAATAGGTTAGGTTAGCTTAGCAGTTCTAAGCTAACCTAACCTACTATTCTAGCAACAGTTTGTTTCTTAAGTCAATTAGTAAGTTTAGTCTTATGTTATTCACTAAGTTAAAAAAAAACATTTCAATCCAATGTCTAATTAATGAGAAACGCGTTGACAAACATATAGACACACATACATAATATACACCTACAAAATGTAGCACACGTGTTTACGAATTGAAAACCTCTTTTTGAAGTCGGTTAATGACGTACACAGACCAAGTAACGGTGTCCTTTTTCTAAGTTGATGAAAAAGAAGATCGCCAATTTTATAAGTCTGTTATTGTTTTACTTCTTTTAGGAGTAGAATTTAATAGTTTATATCTTTATAACGACTGAACCGATTTTGATGAAACTTGTAGTGTAGGTACTCTAAGTTGAAAGCTAAGCAATGAAACATCAAAAAAAGAATCATTGCAATCCGACACCTAGTTTGCGAAATATCTATGAATAAACATACAGACATACAGGCATACATACATACATCTATAAAATTATGCACACGGTCTCTATGAGCTTTTATAAAGACCAACAATATGTATATAACGCCATTTATACGAAATTACATACCACAGACTTAGTAGGTATCAGACGACCAACTTCCTAACAAAAAATTTCTTCGTAGAGCGTGATTGGGAGCCAGTGATACATGACAGCATCATTCGTTTTAAATATATAGATCTACTATCGGCAAAGGCATTTAGCTATACAGCCCTGTTTTGGGTAGGTACCTCGCCGTCTTCCTAGTTTCCACATTATTTTTACTTTTATTTAAATTCCTTTTTTGTTTTAATACAACAATAACAATAAAGCAGACTGATAAGTCTAGCTTATTATTATTGTTGTATTAAAACAAAAAAGGAAAAACGAACACGTAAATGAAACACACATTTTTCCAATATTATTTATTGAATAATTTATTTTTTAACTTATTATATTTTACACAGCTTTCTTCTGCATTCTCGGCAATTCTTAGCTACATTTTTTTAGTGGCACAACTTTATGAAACTTTTCAAGGTAATCACATTTTTTTTAAAGAGGGCACTGATATTTTATTATACACTTATTTAAGTTTTTCTAAAATTTCAATTGCCTTTGGCCAGAAAGAATGATGCTCTTTTCCTTTATGCTTTTTTTGTTTATCAATGCTCCATTGAAACTATCAAATAATTGGTCAAAGAATGAAACAACTTCAGCTGTATTTCTTAATGTTGTGCTGACGGGCCTGCCATCCACATAAGTTGCTGCAAATTAAAATATTCATACAATAATTGTATGAAACTTGATTCAAAACTATTAACTGTTAGTAAATTTCATCTAATATTCACAGAAATTTGCAGTGTAAGACAAAGCTGTAGACATATTTTTACACAATTTTTTACCTGCAAAAAGAGATATCATATTTAAAATTATCTTCATTAGAGAATCATTATTGTAATTTAAGTGTAAACTATATTAACTACTTGTTACATAATTAAAAATACAGGTCATTGAATCAACACTTGCTCTGATAGAGAATATAGAAGCTGAATACAAATTATTTCTTTTATTTATACTAATTTAAGTTATACTAATATAATAACCAATGCATTACCTTCATCATTTTAATTTTATCAGGTATAACTCATTGGTCATTTAATTTATGACGTAGCCCAGCTTAATTAGCAGCCAAATAATATCATGCCATTTTGCAAGTTTAATATACAATATAAAATTTTTTGTTAAAATATTGTTCCTGATGCATTTTATCAAGTATGCAGAATCATAATGTTCAAATCCACCCCACATATTTTAAGAATGCCAACTGAAACAAAAATTTAAGAACTTCTTAAAACATAGATAACAATATAAAAATAGGAACCTTCACTACTTTCATTAAATCTATTAGTTTTCTTTCATATAAATATAATTCTCTGTACCAACCTGTGATTTCAATTTAAAATTTGATCACACTAAGTGTCTTCTTTTAGATTTTTGAGTGCTGATTGGAAAGCTGAGCCTTGGTCATATATTATTGCGATGGGATTAAGGTCCAATTCAACAACTTTTTCTACTACTAACTTTTATTATACGAAAGTGCTGTTTCTAATGACATCTCATCAAATATAATGGAGCATATTTTTTGGAGTTTCATTTGTCCACCTGAAAAAATAAATTCAAATAGGTAGGTACATATTATTATTTGGTAGTAATACAAAAAATTATAAAAGTATAATGAAAAATCTTATATGGAATATATTTACCTCTTACATGAAGCCTGGTTCTATGATCGATTTTCTAATCATAGTATTCAGTGTAGTTTAGGATGATAAAATAAAAAATTTTGCTTAAAAATCAATAACACTTTGGACTCTGCTTTGATATTGATAAAGCAATTATCTTTTCTTCGGTAGTGAATCACCTCTCATGTTTATTTTTAGAGCACATGCTCACTTGCATTTCAAAAACGTTTTTTGCAACTGTGTTCATTTTTTGTCGGAACTTTTCAAATGATAACTTTTTACAAAACTTAACGGTATTTAAGTATTCTTAACTTTATTATGAAAGTTCAACTACGTCTTTGGCTTGTTATATTCTTCATAAATTCTCTGGTATAAAGGTGACAATTGGCTTTATTTGGTAATAAGCCTTTTGTTTGGGTACATTTCACAGGGTCTGTAACATAAAAAGTATTCAGTGAATTTCTCTATTAGAACTACTATTTGATTGAAATAAAGATACACTAAAGAAAAGACAGGTCTGACAAGATAATTTAGTTTGTGTCATATTTTAATCTCCAGAGCAAGCAACTAATTGAGTAAACTCAGTGGCTGCAGACACGGGAGTCTGAATTTGTTCTTTTAAAATTACACCACCTATGAAATCAATATTATGTGTGTAAGATTAAAAAACAGGATATAATCTTAGATGATATTAGAAATATGTTATTTATATTATCAATTTATTCTCTGATCAAAATCACTTCTAGCGTGCCCGCTAGAATTAAGTAACTTGAATGTCATTTTTCTTTATGTGTGTAAGAAAACTGCAGCATGAACTTTGTTATCTAAATAAAATAAATTAAAAACAAACCTCTGTTCAGTTCCACTTTCTAATATGTGTGGTCAACATGACTTTTTCTTGCATAGCTGTGTTCCCAAGTGAATATAATTTCTGTAATAACAAAAAAATGTAATGAAGAATAGCGGTATTCCAAAACACAACATAAAGTAAAGATACATATCATTTTAATTACATTATCTAAAGGTAATAGCAGATTAAACCAGCCTTACCAGTATTGCTTGAAGAGGGTAGGCTGATTGAGAGCCCATCATCATTAAACAATGACGGATATGCGTCACCCAAGAGTCGTGATTTTGGAGTAATGAATCTTGGTACAACGTGTTTGCTACAAATGACACTTCTGCCTGTATTCAAATTTTCAGTATCACACACAGCACTAAGACATTGTAACCACTTGGAGAATCTTTTCTCGTTCACTAGAATCTTACAAAGAATAGCGTCCTGTTCGTACTTTAACAATGCGTGTAACACAACCATAACACAACACACCAATTTCCTAGGCATCTTCTACAAAGAAAAATACTTTGAAAAAAGGAGAGTTTATATTACAAATAAAGCGAAGAGGGTAAGCACAAACGAAACTTTACTCAATCACTCGTAATTCCCTGATATGTAGGTACATACTTTAGTCTTCTTCTTCTTTTATTAATGGCATATCTGCGCATTTCACACAATTTTGCCAATGTGAAGTGAATGAATTAATTCCAACATGTAAAATGAAAAGAATTAAAGATTAATTAAAACATTAGTATCTTTACTCTTTGTTGTAATGACAGTTTCTGTCAGATGTCACGTCTCCATCTACTGACAGGGGTGAGGGGCGTGTGGAAATGTCATACATCACTGGACCCCTACGCGATTGGTTTCTTGTACGGAGTTGACGGGCCGTGATTACATACATACACCTCGAATTGATAACCTCCTTTTATTAAATTCAGTTATAAAATAACGACGAAGAATTGGCTTCATAGGTCCTTATTATTTTTGAGAGGTTTATTGTCGTAACATTCACTGGTATGTCTGTATACGCCATTACAAAGTCAGTATACTTCAATAATTTTTATTATTTAAATTAAAACAAGTTTTTTATTCATACAAGACTGTTGAACTGAATTTATCTTGGAATGCAAAGTAACGAGACCTACACATTGTTTTTGCGTCGGAATGTGATTGATCCCTTTGCATGTATTTATTAAAAACCAAATTGAAACAATAACAAATACAGCGATTAGAGCATAGATAATACCCTAATATAATACTACTCTTTGGATAATACATAACACTAGAGTAAACTTAACAATGTTTTTAACGTTATTTATAAATTCTAGATTCTAGAAAAAGTAAAAATATTGAATATGGTAAACTCGATAAGAGTGTTGTAATATAAAATGGACCCAGAGGTTGCGAAAAAACTTTTTATAGAGGGTGGGACGTTCGTGTTCTTGGGTGTACCAGAGGAAACACAATTTGGTATTGATATGCAGTGTTGGAACACTGAAGAAGATTTTCGTGGTATAAAAATGATACCACCTGGTCTTCATTATGTACATTACTCAGCAGTGAGTAAAGGCACTGGAGATGTATCTCCTAGGTATGACAAATAAATATTTTAACTAATATAATTATTTTTATAAATATGGTTGTTATCCAATTTTTCTAACACTGACAAAGAAATAATTACACACAATACTAATTATTGTTCAAATAACAGGTCAGGATTTATGCATGTGTTTCATAAGAAAGAGTTTCTTGTAAAAATTTGGGATAAGAAAACTGAAGATATGAGCAAAGATGAAATAAGTGATGAGAGTGTTCAGCGACTGAAAGATAATTTGTTCAATCTTGATAAATATCTTGCGCCTTATCCCTATGAGATTTGGGAGAAATGGAAAATGCTCACATCCCATATAACAGGTAATATTTTATGTATTAATTTACTTGAGGCATCTATTCCACATTTTGATAATGTCAAACATAATTCTGATATATTATTGTAGTCAATAGAATCAGTACTATGTATAAAATTTCTTGGAAATTATCACTTTATTTATCGTAGTGAGCAAATAGTTTTATATCTCCATTTGCAGTTTTAATATTTGTAGTAGTACTCATATATTTGTTATTATTTTTTTTTTGTATTTATTTTTTTATTTATTTTTTGTAGACTCTTTTTTTTTCTTTTCTTCGGGCATAAGATTAATATAGGTTGGAGAAGACAAAGGCTCCTGAAACACAGTTTTCAGCTAGCTCGGGAGCCCTTGGATTCATTAAGTTTTGTAATAATTAAAATTATGTCAATAAATACATTTTTACTTTTAAATAAATTTCCTTGAAATTAATATTGAAGGAGATCACACATCTATCAGAATAGAATGTATCGAAGGATGCAAAAGAAAAAATTTAATAATTCTTTGTATACAAACATGTATCATTGGACATGTGGATGTGCCAAATCATCGGAATTCTAATATCGCCTATCATTAATTTGCAAGATGTAAAGAAAAAACATTTAATCAACCTTTTTCTGCTCTGATGTATCTTTTTTCTTTGAATTTAGGGTAACAGGATCCCTTTTTTGTGTACATCATGTAACAAGAAACAGCCACATTGACTGAATAATAATATATTAACAACAAAATAGCCCCACATAGATTAACACATTATGAAACACTCATAATAAACCCAAATTTATTAATATCAGTTGTATTATTTCATATATTAAAGTACCTATATAATTGAAAATTTACAATTTTCATTTGACATTATTTAGTTCACTGGAATTTCAGGTGAGTTAGCAATAAAATTGTCACCTGTAAGTGGGGTTATCAGAGCTGCAGTTGATCTGCTGTCTATGACAGATGCTGAAAGACCAAGAGGACTTAAAGTACAAGAATCTACCAAAAGTCAAGAAGGAAATATAGAACTTACAGTAGAGGATGAAGCCACTCCAGGATCATCTGATCCTAAACGAGCCAAAAGGGTAACTCTTGAGGATAAAGAGAATTTATTGTTGCCAGATTTGAAACCAGCTCCAGGTAAACTATAGTGAAACAGTATTAGAATTTTTTAATTCCCTTGGTAAATGATTATTTTGTTTAAATGAAATTCAACAAATTGATAATCTTGCATTAGACTTAAATAAAATAGATAAAAATAATTTGGATTTCATTTTTACATAATTTTAATCTCTTGATATGTTGCCCTTGATATAAAAAAAAAAATGAAATTTTATAAACTAGACTTGCAATAACTTTTTTTTTATATCAAGGGCATACATATCAAATGAAATATGTATGACCTTGATATAAAAAAAAAAATTATTGCAAGTCTAGTTCATAAAATGATAAGTATCTTGTCGGGCCATACACATTCCGAAGGGGTTCAAAAATGTTTGCAAATGTTATTATAAGATTATTTGTATATCAAACTTAATCAATTACAAATTTAGCTCAGAAACCATCGCTTTGTAGAAATATAACATTTTATTAGGAAATTATAAATTTCTACAAACATTTCCTGCGACTGATGAGCTATTATGTGTTATGTATTATTAAATATAAATTACACCCGAATCTTGCATCTCTTATTATGTCTTCAAACAGACATAAAAAATGCAAGATTCTGGTGAAATATACTGGATTATTATTATTTTTATACTTGAATTGTAAGCTAAAATATGAAGGACCATATGGCCAATATGGTCCACCTACAGTAAAAATATTAACCATACTTTTGTTATGCTAGGTATGGCACTGAGGTTTACAACAATACCACGAGACAAATACCCAGCAGGGTCTACACCAGAAGAAATAACAAAACACTATCTGGATCAGTCATACTCATTAGAATTAATGATATCACAACATGATGAGTAAGTATTAACTCACCATATCCCGCAACAATAGGTCTGCAAGGGAGAGCCCTATAAGTCTGCTATCCTGCACTGGGGTGGTTATGCTAAAGCTTACCAATAATATACAGTAAGACTAGAGAATTTTTCATTAATAATTAATATTATCAAAAAAATTTTTTTTTTTTACCTACTGAATTACCGACGCAACCTATTAAAAGATTTTTAATATGGTATTTTGTTGTCTTCTGCTTAATATTTTTGTTTTTTTAGTCTGGCATTCATATCATTAACTTAAATAATAAGTACAGTGAAAAACAAACAGCCTGCATTTAGTGCTAAAGATTAATAAGTAACCACAAAAAAAATCTGTAAATAAATCTAACTAAATATTATACATATTGTTTCCAGGCCCCTAGACATCATAGGAGAGCTTCAATTTGCATATTTATGCTTTCTTATTGGTCATTCCTTGGACGCATTTGAGCATTGGAAAAATCTGGTTATATTGTTTTGCTCATGTGATGATGCCATACAAAAACATAAAAGTATCTTCTTTCATTTTGTGAAATCATTGGAGACACAAATAGATGAAATGCCAGAGGAATTTTTAGCCGATATTGTAATGAATAAGAATCTTGTATACAAAAAACTGAGGGAATTCTTTCGTACTGTTTATGTAAGTAAAGTAGACGGTCGTCTTACTACATTAATAGAGGGTTTCAAAGAACATTTGACAGAGAAACTCCAATGGGACTTCACTGAATTAGACGCTGATGAAGAAGATGAGCTACCGGTTATTGTAAATCTAAATGAAAATCATGATTAAATTAGAAGTGACATAGGAATTGTCTTGAACTGAACTTCATGTAAATAAGCAGTGCTTTTCATTGTTTATAAGGGTGTAATAGGATACATAATTATACTAATTAAATTTAGTACATGTAAAACAAATACTTTCATTGATAATTAATTAACGCACAGCCCATACTACTAAAATTTTGAAACTTAAAACAACCTAAGATAAATATATAGAATAGCCATAATGCATCACGCGGCCCCAGTGCTAACGACTGCAAATTCAGCCGGGACCAACAGCCTTAAGAATCATGAAGATAACAAAATAACAATTTTAGGTTACTCAACCGATCTTTGCGAAAGTTGCTTTACAGTGAGATGCATACAACTGATATGGCTTACTTGAGTAGCTCGGTGGCGTAGTCGATAAGCGCCGCGACCAGCGATCGTTGTCGTTAAGCAATTTTCGCAAGGGTCGGTCACGGGATGGGTGACCAAAAAATTATTATCTCGAGCTACTCCGTGCTTCGGAAGGCAGCCGTTGCTCCCGGCTGCATTTGCAGTCGTTAATACCCTCCAATCCGCATTAATACATTATTCAACCTGTTAGATAAGTGTTACGCCATCGGGGGATCCGCTAATATCCACGCATCTGAGTCTGACCCCCGCCGAGTGTGAGATCGACACTTAGTGTGTTGTATTTTAAGCCCTTATTATCATAGGCACAAGATTCAGTATAAATAATCATGTGGCTTTTTACGAAAATTTGAACTTTTTAAATATTAATTATACCAATAAAATCGTCTTTAACGAAACATCGTACGTTGAGAACGATAGTGACACAATGCAAAAATGCGATTTTGAGTAATGAGCGTTTAAAGTTCAAGAAATTGTAATCAGCCCCTCTAAACAACGTATCGTCACTACGCCACCTAGCAGTTTCTATGCAAGCTACATTCACAGGTATCTTTGCATTATAAAGTTTATACTTAACAAAGAAAAATTATTAAAAGCAGGAGGTAAGCCGGTACTGAAGGAGCTCCAAAAGCTTATTAATGCTGTCCTCTTCGAAGGGAGAACTCCGCAGGCGTGGAGTAGGAGTGTAGTCATCCTGTTCTTCAAAAAGGGAGACAAAACCCTGCTGAAGAACTATCGACCCATTTCCCTTCTAAGCCACGTCTATAAGCTGTTTTCTAGAGTAGTCACGAACCGTCTTGCGCAAAGACTTGTCGAATTCCAACCACCGGAGCAGGCTGGGTTTCGGACACGGCACCATAGACCACATCCACACAGTGCGGCAGATTATACAGAAGACTGAAGAGTATAATCAGCCCCTGTGTCTAGCATTTGTGGACTATGAGAAGGCCTTTGACTCGATTGAGATCTGGTCCGTTCTGGAGTCCCTGCAGCGATGTCAAGTCGATTGGCGATACATCCAAGTGATGATATGTATTTATGAGGCCGCCATCATTACCGTCCAAGTACAGAATCAGCAGTCAAGTCCTATACCGTTGCATCGAGGAGTGAGACAAGGAGACGTTATATCTCCGAAATTGTTTACTAATGCAATGGAGGATATGTTTAAGACGCTGAACTGGAAAGGACGTGGCATCAACATCAATGGCGAGTACATCTCTCACTTGAGATTTGCTGACGATATCGTCATCATGGCAGAAAACCTGCAGGACCTATAACAGATGCTGAATGACCTGGCTGACTCTTCTATGCGCATAGGCCTACGAATGAACTTTGATAAAACCAAGGTCATATTCAGCGAACATGTACTACCGGAACTGATTGCAGTATGCGGTGCCGTTCTCGGATTTGTTCCAAAATATGTATACCTCGGGCAAACATTGCAGTTAGGTAGAAACAACTTCGAGAACGAGGTAAATGGAAGAGTTCGGCTAGGTTGGGCAGCGTTTGGGAAACTACGTCGGGTCATCACATCGTCGATCCCACAGTGCCTAAAGACGAAAGTCTTTAATCAGTGCGTCCTACCCGTTATGACATACGGAGCCGAAACGTGGATACTGACGGCACGGCTGGTCCACAAGTTGAAGGTCGCTCAGCGGGATCGAATTAAACTTTTATATGTAATTACTTATTTATAATTAAATATTAATATGTAATTACTTATTTATTTGATTTCAATGTCGATAAAGTTTCAAAACCACCGCGCCAGCGGACGTCGTTTGCGGACTTATGCGTTCCTGTTTATTTATTTAATCATAAGCGCAATAGATTGAACTCTACCCCTAATATTTTAAGGTTTAAAATGAAGTGGAGAAATTTGTCATTTTTGTAGAGCCTGAGGTGTTGTTGACTGTACTAAATTCGACATATGCTATCATCGTGTAAAGTGAAGTAATACATCACATAAAATCGCTTTTTTTATAATTATCTTAGGAACTAAATAAAAATATTTTGAAAGAAAAGAAATTGGCTACAAAGAGCCCGTTTCATGAAAGAAGTCTCTCGTGTTACAATGTTATCGCTTTTATTTCAAAGGAATAAGGGTTATGTCAACGCTTCGTGAAACGGGTCTATAATATTTTATACCACAACGCAACCATTCGAAACGAATTTAAAAAAACCCTCATTTTAACTTCTCATGGTAAGAAAAATCTATTGTTTTATTACTCCAATAATAAATTATTAATATCTTTCAACATTCATAGCTGTATTATTTTATTTGAAGTCTTACAGCCAGTTGCACAAATGTCCATTAAAACTATCATTAGTTTAAGGCGACATTACCCCATACAAATTTGACATTCATTTTGGTCTCAAAAAATCACCGGATCTAGAGAGGGCAAATGGGGATGTTGCCCCGGGCGGCTGTAAGAAAGGGGGGGGAGGCAAAATCATTAATAATACTTACATTCAAAAAAGAACGAGCGTGACATCTCTCTTCATACATATGATAGTCTCATAACTCATGGAGTGTGGAGGAAGGACGCCCAACAAAGATTCTATCTCCGTGAAAAAGTCGTAGATCCGGGCTTTTCAACCTTACTTATATTGTTATTCAAAGGTTCATAAGATAAGAAATAACATAAATATTTTTTTATTTTTTATTATCATAACAGATTTAAGTAAGTAAACAATTTACTTCCTATTTTTGAACTGCTTTTTCTTCAACTTCTGGTTATTCCTGTTTTCAAATTTGGACTTCTTCGATACTGTTACAGAATCTGAAATTGTACCAAAATCATCAATAAAGTATATTTGTGGTTTATTTATGTACTTTTATATACTACGTATCAAATTTTATTTAATATCTATAATATATAAAGCATGAATACTTAATAGTAAACTTTAGAGTAGCTTACAGATCGCCAATAAAAGGTTTCCATGGTTAACAAATTGACATCTTTAATGAAAAATTCTTAAAAATTTATCTGCCCCAGATAGCCCCGAGATAGGACTCAAACAAATATAATATTCAGAACACATTTTCGTCTTGATCGGAAGTTTAAAATATTTGTAAAAATATTTCCTTTGGCTGTTTGGGTGCATGGCCTGACCAGTGATGAGAAAGACACTCAATAGTCACGAAAAAAGCTTGTAAAATTCCTGATAGGTCTTGGAAACCTCAATCATTAGAACAATCGCTCAGTTACTAAAGGTTGTGCGTTCGAGTCCCATCTCAAGGTCTAGTGAATTTTTAAGCATTTTTCATCAAAAATATTTATGATAATAGCATTGTTAATGCAAAATTAATACCTTCATTGGATCCTTTGGATTTCCTTTTAACAATATGTGAACTGTTTTTATTGCTTGTTAGATTCATGGCCTTTTTTGCATTTTTATTTCGGAAGTTTTCAGAGACCAAATCTTTATTTATACTGAAAATATAAAAATATAATTTTAAAACATTTGTGTATTAATTACATGGGAAATCTTACAGTACAACCTCGATTATCTGAACACTCAATTATACAGCTTTGCACAGCCATACATACTAATTACATACAGCTTGTACCAAACTTTTAGCTCACTGTGAAGTTACAACAATTTGTTTTATATTTCAATGTTAATAAGAATGACAAATTTGAATATAATTTAACTTTTAACTTTTTTTATACCAAAACCTACATCTTGATTTACCAAACTTCCCAATTAGTTTGGATAACTTGAGGATCTACCGTTTTTAAAAATGTTTTACTGTTACCTGTATTTTGGATTTGAAATTTTGTTGTCATTTTCTTCATCCTCAGATTCCTCTTCGGCAGATTCTACTGACTCACAATCATTATCAGCTTCATTTTCTAACATCCTATCAAATTCATCAGAATCGAATTCGTATTCACTGTCACTTGCAGAATCTTCTTTATTTATTTTTATAAAGTTATCTATTGATTTTACACCTGCATTTTGTAGTTTCTGTTCTTTAAATATCTGTTCTTTTAAGACAGTTTCATTCTTCTTTTTCTGTTTTTTGTTAGAGGTAATGTGCTCTGATTTTTCACTTTTTTTACTTTTCTCACTTTTCTTTTTAGCCTTTTCATTTTCTTGTTTAATAGTCACATTTTTGTGCACTTGATTGACTTTATTTTTCTTTAATAATGCATTATTTTTTGTCTCATTGTCATCATCAACTTCTAATTTCTCAGGTGTCACATTTGCATTATTCAAAAGTTTTAATAGGACTTCAGGCACATCAACAGGTGTAAATAAATCATAATTTATGCCCAAAGCACTCAACTTTTTTTTTGCTTTGAGAAAACTGTGGAAGAAATATCATAAATGTTTAACATACACAAGGTAAATTTAAAAATATATAATAGCCTTTTCTTCTTCAAAATTGACAAAATATTAAATATTGTTCTTACTACCAGACTACCAAATTGTCAATAGAATAATACTTCAGTCTCCTCACATTAAGACTTACATCAGTAAGAGCAACTATGTGTATGTTGGTGTGGTAAACTGCTCTATTTTTGAAGTGTTTTGAGCACAACTTCTAAAATATTTATCAACCTAAGAAGTACCAGTAATAATATGTAAACTCAGTCTTCATAATGTTCCACATTAAAAATGAAACAAATGATGATAACATTTTAATATCTTCAATAGCAAATCAAAATGATAGCCATATAACATATGTACTAGCTTTCCACCCATAAACTATGCTCATGGGGCAATTGAAATTTATTATTTCCCCCTATTAAGCCTCTTTTACAATAAAGATTATCCTTTGTCCTTTCCCAAGGTCCAGTCTGAGTACAAAATTCCATTAAAATTGGTTAAACGGATACACACACACAGTCTGTGTAACTTTGGCATTTCTAACATTAGTATGGATTTATAACAATTTTAAACACATCAATATCTTACGTTGACAACATTTTTCTAGCCTTCTTCAATTCACCATCTTCATCCATTTTAGCATTATAAGCCTGCAATAAATTGTTTCAAAGAAATAATTATAAAATAATAGTTATTTAAGATACGAGTGCGGAAAGTAAGGTTATATGAATAAGGGCCAAATTGAATTTGGCCCTTATTCGTATAAGGCTTTCATTGGCACGAATTCAAAAAACCTTTTACGCTCAAGTTTCTTACAACATTTTTCAATGCTTTTTGCAAGGAAATATATAGGTTAATAAAACTAAGTATGTATTAAAGGTAAAAATGATTTGTTAAAATTAACGTCATATTTGAACATTTTTTCACATCATACATTTTTATTTGAAAATATTCATTCTAGGCTCCTTGAAATACTTTTGCCTCTAAAGTTTGACATATTTTCATATATATTTTTTTAAATTTCCTTGTTGCTCAACCAAAAAAAAATTAAAAAATTACTTTTAAGCATATGTGTAGTAAAGGATTTCAGTACATTTTTATTTAACACATGTTTAAAGACTCACTTTCGGTGTTTACGATGGATTAAAACAATAGCGCTTTATGAGCAACTGCATTGAAAAATATTATAATTATATTATCAACATAAAAGTGATTATTACCTTTTTCATTTTCATTCTCTTTTCTGTAGAAGGATTGTGTACTGGATTCCAGTGTTTTCTCTGAGCAAATCGTCTTTGCTTTTCAGGAGGGATGCATGCAGCTATAAAATATATATTTTTGAAATAAATGAAAATTGAAAAAGTAGAGCTTCGTAAGCTAGGTATGTTAAGAGATAAAGCAAATACCTTTGATCAATCTTTTTCCCATCAAATAATTATTCATAGTCTCTGCTACAATTTCAGCTACAGCTGGATCTTTAAACTCAACAAAAGCACAGCCCTTAGAGCGGCCTGTTCGTTTTGATCGTATTACCCTTGCATTTGTTACTACACCAAACTGTTTAAAATATTGTGTCATTTCATGCTGAAAAATAAAAATTGATAAACTTTATAACACTGATATAATTTTATCATATTTTAATTTAGCATTTTACAGATTATTGCAATGCGTCTCACTCTCGCTAATAATGTTGGCAAGTACATCTCAGATATAGTTTTTGAACCAAGTATCAAAATACTACTGTTGTAGTCGATAATAAATATATTTCAGTATTATTCAAATTATAATAAAAAACTTAATGTTATAATAGGCTAAATGCGTTTCAAGACAAAGTTTAGATCATAAAAAATATATCATCATTTGTTGGGAATACTATGACCCAAGGACTACTCGATAATTGTGATCCTATTGTCCAGTAATAAAAATTCTTGCCCCCTCATACATAAAGTAAATAATATTAACTGCTGCAGCTAACCTCGTAAAAGCCATGCGGTATATGTCCCAAATAAACAAGGCCTCGAAGTTTCCGTTTCGGCTTACGAATTTTGCCATCCTGTACCTTTGTTTTGGAACTTTGATCTGTATCATTTTTCTGTAAGAACGAAGAATTTTAAAATATCTTATGTACTTAACTTTCCTACTTCAAATCGATTTTATAGTACGATATTACCTTAATTCGTTTTTGGATTCCTTTTATGGATTTAACGAACTGTTTTTGTTTACTGGAATCCAAAGCAACATTTTCCTCCATTTTCTTTGAAAATCCAAAAAACCATGCAATGCACAAACTACAAAATCTTCTTTTATATAAATTACAAAATACAAAACCGAAGTTGAACTAGGGATGATCGATATTCATCGATGTTTCAACTTCTATAACATCGGCACATCGATGTTTTCTAGCCAAACATCGATGTTTATGAATAAAACATCAATATTATATCCTTAGGATCATCTAACGTGCTCTAGGTGTACTAGCTAGATGATCTCGTATATCGAGTTCAACAATTTTTCACTAGATTTCACCGGTTGCACTCGTAACTGGAGTAATCAAACAAATAGTTTTTTTCTTTGCTTGCATTTTCCAAAGAAGTTAAAAATAAATCTGTTGACTTCAGCGCTCTTTGGTACCCAATAATTAACCGATAACGTACTTCAATCACTACTACGATTTTATAGGTTATTTTAAGAACAAAAATTAATAAGTCACCCTTAAGAAGATTACGATACTAACTGCTTGCTGATTTTGTTTTGCATTGAAGGTATAAAGGTTTAAGAAGATTTTTTTTTCTGTGTCGGGTAGCTTCGCGTGATGAGTGATGACTTATGCTAAACTAACTAAAGTTCGTCTCACGAGAGAAGCCCCTCGGATCATAATGTTTTCGCTTTTATGAATAAAAGTTATTCGGTGGGACTTCTTTCGTGAAATTCTAACTAAACTCTTTTTTATTTCATATTTCAAAATAGGGATAATCGAATTTTTGTGTATGTAACATATACACATCTTGAAATACATATTTTACATACATGTTTAGAAAAATTGGCTTGTTTGACTCTTTATCAATAAAGAAATAGATTAAAAGTTCTTCCTTATCAAAATTAGTTTTCCTTCAATCAGTTGATATAAAATATTGGAATATGTAATGATTTGTTTCTAATAAATTTCGAAAAATTCACTGTATTTTATTTCTTTGTAAAAAAACATCGATGTTCAGTTTTCGATAAATATCGAACATCGATGTTGGGCTTACGATGATGACACCGATGTCAACATCGATGTTTTTTTTAATATCGACATCCCTAAGTTGAACAAAATGACCATAGAGAAAAAAAATTAAAAGTGACCACAACCTACATAGGGTCATAGACTTAGGGTGCTTGTGCACTACACTGAATTTTCATGTCCGGCGATCAGATTTTTTCAGGTCCGATTTCGGAACGGAAAAAATCGGACCGTCGTACCTGAAAATTCAGTGTAGTGCACAAGCACCCTCAGGGCTGCGCCCTTAGGAACATGAAAAACCCGGATATTGTACTTTTTCGTATTTGTATTCATGTCTAAGTTTCCAACTTTTCAATTTCAGTTTTTTAATATGTAGGTTAAAAGGAACGGAAATGACTGTGTTTAGTCCATTCGTTTCCTGCAAAAAATCAACTTTTGCTAGAGTCGTCATCTAGTAGAGGTACATTTTAGTGCTTTCGTTATTTTTTAATAGTATAATTTAATAGTATATTTACAAATGACAAGGCTGTATGGACTAAGCACCCTTTGCCTTCCCCTCCCGTACAGGAATGGGAAAATTTAACAAAAAAAAGTCTTTGTGTGGTATTTGACAGTATTATTTATTGAATTTATTTTTTGAATTGTGTAAATGCAAATAGGCCATGAATTAAAAAAGAAGAAGAAGATTATTTATTTGTAGTTTCTTACCGTTCTTACTTACTTGGTATTTATTTTGTAAACTTTATCTGTGAATTCATTATACCTGTGTATAACTACATATTTTTCTTTTTGTTCTAGTACAACAATATTATGATATAAGAATGTCTAATACGGGGACTTGTACGTTAAATCAGTACATACAATTTGTAGAACGAGCATTTAGAACAGGTCAAGGCACAGTCCTGTCGCGACTGCTATCATTACGGGATGACCACGTTGGAAATAGAAGTTTACGATCAAGCGATATTGCTACCCTAGTTGAAGGCAATTGTGTTGAACCTCTTGACGAGATAATTATAGCACATCTATTGTGTGCGAAGGTAATGTTACTACCAATTGGCACACAGTTCACGTATGTGGACTGTCTAACTTTTCAATACTTCTCAACAGCATTCAATTTATTGCATCAAATATGTTTTATTGCATTTTCAGGCTTTATGCTTGAAAGATTATGAAGAGGCTTATGAACGACAGAGTTCATGTGTAGCAAGTGTCGTAAGACTAATCCAAGCTCAACAAGGAGAAAATTGGAATCTTCCGCTTCTTTACACTGTCAGTTTAGACCTGCGGCTAGTAGCACAGAAAGCTGAAGCAACTTACCGTAAGTATTCATTTAGTTAGTTTCAATTGAAATCATTCTACATCCAACTTATTTATCTTACAGTTGCTTAGAGTTTCTAATATAAAAGTCAATATAAGTACCAATGTCTAATTCAATTTAATTTTTAATTAATTTATATTATTTCTCTATTTCAGCAAGTAATGGAAAAATACTTGAAAAGGCAGCGGATAGTCTATTGGCTGGCTTCAGAGTGTGTGTGGGAGACAATAGATCATCAGAACCATACTCAAAAAAAATTGGCATGTTGAATATTGTGAACCAATTGCTCAAGGTTTACTTTCGCATTAATAAAATTCACTTGTGTAAACCACTTATTAGAGCAATTGATTCAACAAATCTTAAAGAACCATTCCCATTGGCACAACGTATTACATACAGATACTTTGTTGGGCGCAAGGCTATGTTTGATTCAGATTACCATTCAGCAGATGAATTCTTAACATTTGCATTCCAAAATTGTCACAGACATAGCTTCAAAAACAAAAGGCAAATATTAACATATTTGGTGCCTGTCAAAATGTTACTTGGTTTCATGCCTACCAAGAAAGTGTTGTATAAGTACGACTTGGCTTTATTTTGGGATTTAGCATGTGCTGTGAAAAATGGGAACTTAAGAGGAATTGATCAAGTCATGGAAGACTATGAAAGTTTCTTTATACAAGCAGGTATATACTTGATAGTAGAGAAACTAAAGATATCTGCATATAGAAACTTATTTAAAAAGGTTTATTTAGCAGAAAACTCCCATCAGATAGACATAGCAAGTTTTCAGGCAGCATTGCAAATTATGGGTCATGATGATGTTGATGCAGCAGAAACACAGTGTATTGTTGCAAATCTGATTTATGATGGTAAAATAAAAGGTTATATCTCATACCAACATCAGAAAGTAGTTGTTAGTAAACAAAATGCTTTCCCACCTTTGACAAGTTTATGTTAAACATTACATTTAAGTATATGATGTAAATAGCCTAAATTAAGTGAATTTAAAATAAAACACAAATCACATTAAACTTTTTTATTAAATCCACAATATATTTCAAAGAATAATACAAATATAATAAATTTTGCCAATCACTAACATTGCATTATATTCAACAATGCCACAGAGTTATTTGTCTTACGAGTAAAATATCTGATCCTAATATAAAGACACAATCTAATCTATTTATACAGCAATGTCTCATATAAAATACACAAGGTTAATGTTATGAAGTTGAAAATTTGAAAAATAATTGTGATGTACATTTTTCATTCCTTGTTTGGCATAGTTTCTTATTACCACGAATTAGGTTAATGCTACAGTAAAATTTAATTTCTAGTGATTAGATATACTGTAACTATTAAAAATAATTTGTGATTAGTGGCATTAATTTTGGGATATGTTGGGTATATTGGCATATGATATGCATGTGTATACTTATCAAGAAATACCACTGATACTAATTTTAACTGATATATATACTTCTTTGGGAAGACATAGTTTTATGTTTAATAATTTTGTATTACAATTTCAAGGTGCATTAAAATGTACATCACTTTAAAAGATTTTGGTAGAAAAATATCAAGTAATATTTGACTAGCTATTCAATAGTTCATATTTTATATTCATATTTAAGCTTATTTTGTGATTCATCTAATTGGGGAAAAAAGTGAATATAAGTATAAATATGGAGATACTATAATATATTATTTTTATTCAAAATCGCAACCTCCGCACAATTCGCATAAAAATATTTGTACCACACGTACTTGGTATGATTTATTTGCTGTAACACCTGGTGTCGGTGTGGCTATGTAAAGTACAAAAAATCGTAACACGTTAAAGGTGGTTTTTAAAGTTTAAAATTAGCGATTAAGACAAGTATACACAATCAAGAAGCGCGGCGGTTCAGCAGATCTCAGAATTTAGTATGAAAATGAGTTCCGAAAAAGAGTAATGGTTGAAAGTAAAATAACTAAATTATAATTACTCAGACTTTCATTTAATGGAACAAACATATTCAGCAATCGCTAGTTTTATTTCGTACCGCCACCACCAGATGTTCCAATGCTGGACCTCCGCACTGGATACTGAATAATGTAAACCCTTCCTAGTACAACATATTGAAAATTCAAGTTTTCGACAGCTCTTGCACGTTTTTGTCATAAGTTCTCCGTCTATAAGTCAATGTTTACAAAATACTATTTATGGATATCTAAGCTGGACCAAATTAAATAATTTCGTAGTATAATTATTTAAGAAAGTGTAACAAAAAATATGTATAAAGTTTATTTATGCTCTTGGTCTAATTAACAATAGATAGGGAACATTCAACTATTTAGCGAATATATTGCTAACTTCATTACCGTGTGTTGTGTGTGTTAAAATTTAAGATGAAATGCTGTTTAATAATAATAATATTACTTTTATAGCTTATATTATATAATATATTTTACTATCTGTTTAGATTAACTAATGAACATTTATGTGACCTGTTTTACGACATCGATAATAAAAATACTGTATCAGGTAAATATTTTTCCACTAACATTTTCTGTCGTTTAGTTTTCGCTAAAACATGCCCTCATGCGCTGAGTCAGGTACCCAGGTGCGTGCACACAGAAAAAACTTACCAATTTTCAGTATCTTCTAATGAGTTTGACCACACTGATCAATTGATGTTTGTTTATTTTATACCTATACATTGTTCACATATACAGGTAGCCGCCGAATGAACATTTGATATATAAATTTAAACTACCCCTTTTAATATGTATGCATTAAATCAACTATAATCAACTATAGGTATTTATATTTTTTTAATTTAATAAAACACGTTGTAAAAGTGGCATTTGTTGACGCGTTACTTATTATTACCTATTATTTAAACTATTAGTTTTGCTAATTTGTAAACTTTCGGAAATATGGTCGTTAAATTATTTGTAAGTAAGTTTTTTAATGCTAGCCAATTATCACTATCATAAAACTTTTAATTAAAGAACGAGTAATATTACTTTTTTTTGAAGTTAAATCTAACCCGGCCACACACCTTCCTTTGTAACTATTTTAAATTTTATTCAAACGACAACCAAAATGCTTTCGTAATTAATTTATCACCACCACAGAGCAGAAAGAGCAACTCACAGTTAATATTTTCCATTCACCCCAAATAAATCACAATGTAATTAGATTGATTAATTATTTTACAATTAATCAAAATATTATTAATATTAATCAAAGTATGCAGTGCTTATTTGCATGTATGGTGTGCACGCCACTGTGTACCGTTCTATAATTACATATGTAAGTCTCTATGTAGGGCAATTGTGCTAATGTTTAAGTAATTACGGAAAGTCAATAGCGCTTCAATTAATACCCTTTATGACATAGTTATTATTACTAGATCACAAAATAATAAATACATCTGTCACCATTGATTTGTGTGGAAGACATTGCACTAATATTATAGAACTTATACGTATAGTCTATAATGGCAGAAAGCCGCTATGTTGTATGGAATGGTTTTCGTTTGTCTGCTTGGTTGTGCTTGAAGCGTTATTGACTTTCCGTAATAACGATTACATTTTTAGACTGTGGCGGACACCGTTATCTAGAGATATAGAACATAAATTATGCAAGCCTATAATTATACTTATTTAGCATTGTAAAGATTACAAGCGATACTTATATATTCTTATTTCTTAATGTAGGGTCATGGATAAAAAACTTGATATTACTTAATTAATTGTACTTTGTAGAACCTATAAGATGGATCACATTTATTACTGCTGTATATGATAAATAAGCATAAAAGTTTTTTTTTGTTATAACTATACAGATAATATATATGAACTTTCATTTATATTTGTCTATCTTAAATATAACAGAATTATTATATTTTACCAATTTTGCATTCACAATGTTATACTGATATTCTTAATGAAAATTGGATTTTTAATCCACCTTGTCCCTGGCACTAATTATATATATCAATACAAACAAAAAAATATAGATTATAGGTTTAGTGACGACTTTTTTATTCAATAATTTGATTCGTTTGTTACAGGTGTAATTATTTGCAATTAAAAAACGGATTAGTGCGAGTCGAACTTGCCTGAATTGAGGGTTCCGTATGTCACGAAATAGATTTATTAAGTCCTTTGGAATGATAGTTATTTTAAACAATTGAAGCTACCTCAATTATAAATTTTAACCCAGGGGGGGTTAAAATTTATTTATAAATAGGGATTTATAAATATGATTTCAAATTCGTAGTAAGTTTACAGATTTTTCCCTGAACTTGTCCTTGTCCTATTAACGATTTAGGTCAATTTTAATTTCTCTGAGAGTTACGAAATACCTACTTAGTATTTTAGGTATTTTTTACAGCTTCAATTGACTAGACATTTTCTTTTCAACTTTCCATGCCTTCTCGAAATTAAGAGTCTTGACGGACACGTACGGACCGACGGGCAACAGAGTGCTTAGTGTTTTCCCTCTTGAAGTACCTACGGAGCCCTAAATATGCTAATATAATCTCTGGTCAAAGTGGATTAATGTTTATTATTTAGAAAATTAAGATACCTATGTTTTAGTACTACATACTGTTTAGTATATTTTTATACTACTTCATTAAAATGAATCATTATAAAGATAACTTTATTATATTCTGCAAAGATAAAAATTTGATTTTATAATTTATAACTCGGCGTCACCTTATGCTTATTTTAGATAAATATTAAGATAACATCTTGAATGAAATATTCAGTATAAAACATTTGTTTTCTTTAAAATTTGTATGCATTCAATACCTTTGATTTTAAATTTATATGCCGCCTCCGCACCCTTACCATACATCAAGAAGTCATCACAAATTCGAACGTGTAGATTTAACTTCGTTTTTGTAGGTGTTTGTAGCCGATTCAATCTATGGGAGTTTTTATTGCAAATCGAAGGGAATTTACCGCGAGCATATCCAGCACGTATAAGTTTGCTGCAAACGTTAAGCATGCGGACGCGGAATTACATTCTCGCACCTACACAAAGCAATGTTTTTTTTATACGATACACAATTATTTTATAATTTAAAATGTAGATAAATATAAAAGTTGCGTCGCAAACTATTACAATTATACGCCGACTTTGGAAGTTCTTTGAACTGTTATCATATTCTCAATTTCTCAATTCCATGTCAAGGGAATATTGATTTTGACGACGTTTAAAAAGTGTTCAAAGATTTTTCAAAAACCTATTACATTGTATAGACATGACACTTGATAGAAACCATCGTCGTCACCCTTACGATCCTATTCTTTTCCCAACAATTCTATTCTTACAATGTACCTATGCAGCCTTTAACCCCTCATCACTATAAAAAGTGCCATGTGTATAGTTATAAACTACTATTTCATAACATTTAAATGCCATAAAATGCATATAAGTGTTTTCTTACTGAATTTTCAGTATTGTTCTCTTTTATTAATTATTCCAGCGAATTCGTTTGATGTAATTGTCTATTTTAGAATGGTTTTGTCGTAAAAAACCTATCTTTTTAGTACTGAATTCTTAGACAAAAATACTAATAGCATAGCTGATAATAAGCCCATTACACTTATCTTTGTAAGTTAGTTAAATCTAGTTGAATAAAAGTAATAGGTAACTAATTTCTCCTTTCTATCCTTTCTATAAATATTATTTTATGGATTAATTTATTTAGATTTGCATCATTTCTCGACTTTAGCTTAACGTTAAAAGAATGCTGAATTAATGTCACTAATGTAGTTTGTGCAATGTAGGTATATCAATAGGTCAAAAACATAAGTGAAAAGTCTTAAGGAAAATTAGGACAATATTAAAATTAAAGTAAATTTAATGTTAATCCTAAAGCATAATATGTGTTTGAAACTTAATAGATTTACTGTGGGTACTGTCCACTAATAGAAATAATATACAAAAGAATTTCCATCAGCAACTTAAGGTATTTCAAAACTTGTTGTTTAAGGGCCGGTGCAAATCTGACCGAAGATCCTTCCAGAGTCTCACGGAAGTATGCGTTAGTAATCGACGTTTGCTTGATTTTGAATATGCAAGTTTGTAAGTCTTCATATGTTTGTCAGTTCTGACATTCTGCGAATGACAGCCGAGACCTGACGCAACGTCAGTCAGATATGCACCGACCCTTACTGTATCGCATTGCTAACGGTCGCTGGTTTGCTACCTGATAATTTAGTTCCTCTCGGGGAAGGAGAATTTATGTAGCGGGGGACCTTTGAGTAGCTCGTCCTTATAAGCTGCTAGAATTGCCCTGGACAAACTCGGCTCTGATGAAGATGCTTCAAGGAACTGACGCATTAGCCTGCAAATCGAGTGAAAAATGGTGTTTTTCAAAACACATAACATATTTAAAGCTTACTTATCTACTTGATTTATGATATCATACCTGTTCGCTGAACTGCCTCCGAGTCCTTCACGCGTCTGTAATAATTCTGGGTGGTCACCAATAGTGTCAGTTAGAGCAGCAATCATCACGTCTAAAAAATATAGAAATCTGTAATTATTATCGGTGTATTTGTGATTGATTTCACACTCTTATCACGTAATATGGTTATGTAGTGTGGCTACGATTAATAAAAAAGTATAAATCACATAATTGACATTTGCAATCGGTACGTGCCTAAAGGGACTTCTAAACGGCCAATATTTTTCGGCAAATAGTAGCTGCACTATCGGTAACTTATTGCGTGGCCATCCCAGAAACATTTTTAACAATATCGGCCATACCAAATATATATGGCTAAATGGACAGGATATAACTGAAATATTGCACAATGTGGCCGGTATTTTTTGCCACTGTGTTGCAGCCATTAATTGCCTTTTAACTAATAACAGTAGATATATTTAACTGTAGATATTTACAATAAACCTTAAATTACGATCGCTATGAGTTAGTGACCGAATTCGGTTAATTTACGATCGGAAACTCTCGAGACTGCATGCCCAGGGAACTTTTTTCATCTTAAAAACTGATAGCGTAGTACCAAATGTCCTTAACTTTGTGTCGTTTTCATGAATGACAAACATGATATGTTATAATAAGATGTAATCCGAGCATGTTACCGAGCACTTTTTTCTCGATGGTGCGAGAGAGTTGCCCTCGTTCTGCCTCTAGTTCCAAAAAGGCCATGAAACGTTGCGTGGCCGCGCGCGCAGACGCAGGATCCCGGCTCAATGACTGCGAGAACATCATCTGTGAATAGACACCGATAATATAACTACTACCAATATTTCGATTGTTTAATTCATTCATCATCATCATTATCACCAGCACCTTTATGTTCCTACTGCAGTGGTTCAGGCTTTCTTCATGGCTTTCCTTATTAAGGAGGATAGGTCATGACCCTCCACGATGGCCTAATACGGTTTGGAGGGTACGCCATAACACGCCACCGAGCTATTTTATTTAATTGATACTTTAAATAATAAATTTTAATTAATTATTTTGGTGCATCAAGTGCATTTTTTTTTAGCATGTTCCCCCACTTTTGAGCAGGCTGTCTTATTTTTCTCTTTTTTTTTAAGCTTGTTATTATGTTTTTCTTTTTTTTACAGACCTGGTTGGTCTGTTGTCTTGGGGATCACTTTTTCCCTCTTTTGAGCATATTCTTATTTTCTATTACATATTTTTCTTATTCTATTATTTATATTATTCTTTTTTTTAGTTACATTTTTTCTTTTATCTTGTTACATTTTATCTAGTTATATACATATATATGTTTGCTTATTTTAGTTTACAATTTTGTTTGTATTCTATATTTTTATTATTTTTGTTACAGGTTACTTACTACTATTATAATATCACAGATCATTTTGCTGTATTTGCGTCTACTTATACAATTTCTATTCAATCCTTGTTTCTTTTTACAATATTCTCTACCATTTTACAAGCATACTTGAGAAACTCGTCTCTTTCTTCTATATTTGCAATAATTTTTTCTAGGTTTGGCCTACTAAGTTGTGAGTTGATGCTGCTTTGTAAAGTGTGCCTATTTATACTAAGTATTGGGCATTCTAGCAGGATATGAAATATATCTTGTTTCGTTTGGGGGTCGCATTCGCAGTATGGGGTATCCCTGCATTTGTATTCATGGAGGTAGGATCTAAACCCTCCATGCCCCGTTAGCAACTGTGCAGCCCATCTATCAATCTTCATCTTACGTACGACGCCGAAGGCCAATTCTCCACTGGGGAAAAAGGCCTTCGTCGTGGTCGCGGTGCTTTCGCTCCTATAGCGTCTGTCCCATTCTACTTTTGTCAAACTGCGTAAATGTCTTTTGACAAAAGAGATGGGACAGCGCATCAAGTGCATTAGACTTTGGTGACTTTGATGTCCAACTTGCTATTTGAACTTTATTTAATTCATCCCTAAAAAAACTATTTGCTATGGTATAGTAATTATAGTACGTTGAATCCAGTCATCGTATGAGTTATCAAATTTATTATGTCGAGATAATTCGTGCTTCGGAAGGCATAAGGTGTTCGTTTCGGCTGCATCTACATACGTCGTGGATCATGCCCGGTATGAGTAGAATAATCATGTTATACAGAGCAAATAGAATCCTAGTAAGTTCTGTCTTGATAAAAATTACCTTAGCTAATTGGTAAATGATCTCTTCCAAGGTGTACTCAGTATAGAGAGTGTCAGCTGCCTTCAATTTGTCCATCATTTCTTCGTATTCCTCCTCACTAATGATAGGCCCGTCTCGATCGTAATCAGATGTACCTACAATCATATTATCGATTATTTATTTTCTGAAATTTTTTTCAAGACTAAGCAACAACTGACAGTTAAATACCTACCAATTTTTGGATTTATTATATTCCTATAAATATTTACAAATTTACAAGCGGCAAATTATTAAAAATTCCCAAGTATTACAGCAAAAGATGATTTCGTGCTCAAAAATGCTACTTCTGTCATAGGTATACCATGGGTAAACCTTCGGAAAACAAACTTTTAGGCACCCAAACCTCTCGCTGCAACATCTATACAATAATAAAAATGTAACTGATCGATGTCTGTACTTTGAAGATATATGAAAAGAAAACTATTATGAGGGGCATTAAAAACGTAATAGAACACTGTCGGTTTGTCCGTGTCGGTTTGTCAGTTTATGCACTCTAATTTCAGAAACGGCTAAACCGATTTAGCTGCGATTTTCATTATTGTATTGTGGTATTTTCGTTAACATTTGGTGTAAGATATTTTTTTAAACAAACAATCAAATCTTTCATCTTTATAATATTGATATAGAAGTATAGATTATTAGAAGTCCGATGGCGTATAGGGTACCGGATTCATTTTACGATTCGGTTAAATAAGTAAATAAATACTCTTTTTTGCACAACAACTAAATTACATGAACATGCAAAAATATTTTATAAGTACAACTATGTATAAACAAACCAACTTATAACACTACGAAAACCCTAGCCAGCGAATTGTTCCTAGCATTAAATGGTAAACGTGACGATAAATAGCAGTTTGGACTTACAACTAGACAAAAAACCAAAAACAAAAAAAGAACAATTCAAATAGCGTAAGTATCACTAATACAAGAAAAAACTTTTATAAGGACCGTTCATAAGATGGGTGACCAAAACATTATTATCTTGAGCTACTCAGTGCTTCGAAATACAAGTTAAACCGTTAGTGCTGACTGCATCAGCTCCATCCATAAGAAAGAAAGAATTCTACTAATATAATTTCACAAGCAGACGAAGTCGCGAGCACCGCTAGTTTCTACTATATTTCTAAAACTCTTAATTTATGTGAAAATTACGAGTATATCAAAATTCGATCGCCGTCGAGTCTCCCGTGGAAACCAAGTTGAATACAAATCACTGGGAGTCACTGAATAGGAGATTGCATCTTTTTTGTGATAAGGTAAGTACTTAACTAGTTGAAAGATATGATAACTAAATTGTATGTAATGTAATTAAATTAATCTATTAATAATTTATATGTATTCTGATTGTTTTGTTGAATAGAAATTGTAAGTACTAAAAAATTTGATGGTACAGTTAGATCATATAATGTGAGCCCCACCGATCGCATACTATATACAAGAAATAGTGTGGAGCGATCGTGGGGACATACATGAAAAATTACAATAGATGGTTGGGTTGGTTAATGGGGGTAAAAAGGAGTACAACCATGAGGTACAGCTTACATTGGCATACTAAATGTAAAGGTAAACGTAAGTCGAAAAAATGGATTAATGAACAATGTGTAGAATAACAATAAGGAATGATAACGTAATCAAACAAAAAGAAGAAAAATGTAATAGCAATAGTTATAAATAAGTAAAAGAAAGACAAGGGTCAAAAGAAAAGTACCCACAGACTAAGTTGATAAACACCTGAGATTTAAAAAACATACAAAAGAAAAGACATAAAAAAGACAAATAACGGCCTGATACAGATCGGGGGCGTCAGGAAAAAAAACTAGTTGAAAGAGAAAATATAGCAGGTACTAACTAACCAATAATGTTGGTCTGCAGCATCGGGTCGTATCTCTTAACAGCGTCAGAGGACGTGAGAGGCAACACAGGTACTGGAGACAGGTTGTTATTCAGCTCCCAGTTCTTGTTCACGATGGTCCGGATTATGTCGGGACTGTTGCCGAACGGGAACGACTGGAGGCCTGCCGCGTTGTGATATTGGTACTGGTCCTGAAAGTGATATAGGGTTTTGAAGGATTTTTTTTCCACTTAATGTTTAAAACATATTTAAATTTTTAAGGTTTCACATCAATCATAATATTTTTTTTTGCTTCGAGCGCGTTAATGTTGAAAATTTCAAAGAGTTTGAATATTGTGTCAATAACCTTGTCAATCGAGATTTTTGCTATAAATTAACATGGATTTGTATATGTATTTAAATTAACATGGATTTGTATATGTATTGTATTTGTACATGATATTGATATCATGGACGTAGCTCGCGACCTCCGAGTGTGGTCTGCACGAATGTTCGCGCTCGTTTTTATTACGTTTGCTACCACTGCTCTAGGTGCTAAGCAACACACTATCTTTCTAGTTTTAGCAAATGACTGTTCTGAGCGACAGGAAAGGACGTGGCAACGGGAAAAGAATACCACTGTGCTGCCAGATTTAGTCCAACCATCAAAAGAACACTACCGCTACAGCGATACATATATTATATACCTATCAATATTTTACATAAAATATAAACCAATTAAAACTTATAAATATATAACAAAAATATGACAACTATATACATAAACGCACAAACAATAGAAATATTAAAAGTATTGCCCAAAACCCACATATGCGTCTGCCTGAATTTGTAGGGGGCGTTTTCGGACGATTAACAGCGGTTCCACAAACACGCCACCGTATCTCCGAAACTATTAATCGCAGACATTCTCGCCTAAGCTACTAAAAGTGGTTGACTTGAGATAGGACATAGGTTGCTTTTTATTGTGATAAAAATATTGAAATAGGGATTTAAAGTTTATATGAAAGTTCTTCATTCATTAACAACCCTTTAACGTTTTCACTGCTTGGCCTCAGGCCTTCCTTATTAAGAAGGAGAAGGAGGATTGGCCATGACCCTCCACGCTGGCCCAATGCAGATGGGAGGGTATTAAAGACTGCAAATGCAGCCGGGACCAACGGCTTAACGTGCCTTCCGAAGTAGTGACGGAAGTTCGTCATTGTCAAAGATAAATCATGAAACTTTATATTCAAGTATGAATAAAATGTATTTTAGCGGTTTATAAGTGCTGTCCAAAGCAAAACTATACCACGCGGACAAAGTCGCGGGTAAAAGCTAGTAAATTTATAAAATGAAAAAGTACTCAACAAGCAATCAGAACATGATACAAATAACAAGCCATACTTAGTTGTGTAACCGATATCAAAACCGCACTATGTAGATTAAGAACTTAGTTCATTAATTTTTATGATCTTGCCTTTATGATGACAGCGTTAATGTTCCCGGAGCCGTCGTTAGGAAATTCGATCATAAATTCTTAATTATCTCCCTTAACAAAAATATCATATTATCTGGGGCATTAGGGACATCTCGTAAGTATAATTTTAATATTCAACTGAAAAATTATAAGAACAGAAAAGTTACAATTACTTAGCCAGTTCCTAAGTTTCTATTATTACCTAATGTGAAATTTTCGATTCCTTGCTATTTCTTAGAAATATATATAATTTTACCTAAATGAAAAAGGCTGGATTCTTTCCAGCCTGAAACTGTGTTTTTTATAAGAATCACGACATATTACTCGTATATAAAATCCTTACTAGTCTGAACGCAAACAACTCGAAAAATCAAATGGATTTCCATGCGACTTTCACTGCTAACTACAGAAATTAATAAGAAAGGTTTAGGTATATAATTTACTTATTAAGGTTTTTTGTAAAATTTCTAGAATGTGACAATAAGTTGTTGAAGATATTGCAAAACATAAGCCGATTAGAAGCTTCATTACTACAAACCTGTAGATTTACCCGAGTAGCCGAGGTAGAATGCTAGTACATAGAAAATATAGCTACAATTTAATTTTCATATGGAACTACCAACATAAAAAGTTTTTACAAAAATAATTTGAAATACATGAGTTCAATTCACTATATCACTATATAGTGATACTGACATTTCTGATTTTAACGGCGTAATTAGGCACCATAGATAAATCAATGATTCACAATCATAAACCCATAGAATTAATAAGTACTACGTACAACTAGAATGCTTACTGTGCGTCTAAACATGCGCCGAGTGAGAGGTCATAAATCTTGGTTTGTCCCTTTCTAAGTAGTGTAACCATTCTTACCTGAATACATTGGACATTAAAAGAAAATATTGATTATTGAAATTGAATAATATTAATATGAAGCAGAAAAAAATCTTATTTAATCTCAACTTAACAATAATAAATTTTGAAACTATGGAAATCAGCAATTTCATAGTCAGCCCTCCCCCCTTCCCCCCACTGGGGGAAGACCTAATAATAAAACGCAATCAAAATAGTATATTTTATTATGACTGTATTGTTTACATTTTAAAATTAAACATTACTTAACAAAATTGTTTTGTGCAATTTATGGCGTAAAGTAGCGCGAGATGTGCCAATGGCCTTGAATGTGAGACCTTTGCCATAAGTTGACATTCTTATTATGAGAATCTCATGCCTGTGTTGGATTTATTTTTGTTCAATTGCTGATGAATATTTGGGAAACAGTTTGTTATGACAGATTTCTTTTCATAATTTCTACAATTTTCTTTTAAAACTGCTAAAAGTGACTTTAAATTATTAATCTTCATCTTCATGTCTCTTCTTTTGATTTTTGCCTAGTATTAATATCAAGTTTTAACTTCTTACATGAAGGACTTTAGTCAGGCGTATAACTAAAGGCGTTTAACACATTATTTTTTTTGTTATCAGGAAAAATCTGTAATGAAATTAGGTAGGTACATAAAAATAAGTTATAATATGAATTGTTGTTTTAACTTATTATTTTCGATATAATGTTGTTTATAAATGAGTGCTTTAATATTAGGTAGGTACCTTTGGCAAGATTGAAGGAATCACTTCTGATTTCAGCTTTTTTCGAGCCTCTGTTCGGTAATCTTTGGTTTTGAAATGAAGTGCACAAACCACACAGCTTTCATGTAAGTTCCCAGGTATCAACCATTTTTTCTTTAACTCTAAATCCGATGGCAAACTGGAAATTTAAATTAAAATGTATATTTTTTATTATAGTAATAATTTGGTTTGGTTTGGTGTGTAAATAGATATTTGCAAAAGATCGATCAAACGATAAGCCTACTGACCAATAAAATTATTAAAGGATACCCATTTATGAGCCTCCACATGCTTGCTTAATGTAGGTAGACTTGCAAATAGTGAATAACCAAAGTGTTAAGTGATACAACAAGTTTAAATTTAGTACTTAATTAGGCAATAATAGGGTCTATGCTTATAGTACGTACGTACTTTACATCTCTATACGTAAAGTATAGTCACCCTAGTTTCTACTGATGACATACTTACCTGTGAAAAGATAATCCACAGCCAGGTACGATTCTTTCCCATACCCACTCACAGCACATATATTGTTTACCATTTTTCAATCCAATATACTATTTAAAGCACTTTTTTAATTCAGAGAGCATTAAAAACAAGTCCATATGACAAAAAAGAAAACGCCATGTTGCTTTTGTGGTGCCACGTGAATACTTCAATTTACCTAGTGTTGCATAACGTAAAGGTAATAAAACATGCCTACAATATTGAAATGTCGTGAAATATAAAAACTTTGATTTATCTGGACCTAAAAGCTATTGCATTTATATTATTAGTAAACTTATAAACAAGCCAAATATAATATTCATATAGAAAACGTTTTGTTCTGTGTAAACAGTTTTCACGAATTTACCACCTTTATATCAACAATATTTCACATGGCAATTGTGCGACAGAGACACACCAAGAAAAAAGATGTCTCACTTGAGCTCATTTCTCTATGTAGATAATGGTTATTTAAAAAACACTTTATTCACATATCATTAAGGTTCATTTTGATATGTAAAAAAGATCGCAGTTAGCATTCCAGTTGTACGTAGTACTTATTAATTCTATGCATAAACCTATTGAAATAAAAAAAAAAAAACATGTCAGCTATACATCTAATAAATATTTTTATAATTGTCTGGTAACGTATTAATAAAATATAATTATTTCCTACCACGTGATTAAGACCTTGATGTCCCTATTCCCAACGGATATTAAGGTATCCAGACGTAAACGTCTACATATACTTTGACTTACTTACCTATCTATTTAATACAGAACTAACTGTGTAGTTCAAAGATTTAAGGAATAATTAGTTACCAAATTAAACTAGTTAATTTTCAGGTGATATGGATTATTTATAAATATTCATCGAAGTACGCTCAACCATAGACTCAAATTCACTACTTAGATAAGTTTTACGAAATGCCAATATTGAAATTTCATACTCATTAACTAGAAATAGACAAAAGCAAAATAGTAATCAATTCCAGTAACTAAAAGTGTTAATTAACTGCATATATTTCCAGTTAAAAAAACTAGTACAGTTTATATTTACACTTTTTAGGGTTCCATAGTACACGAACCCTTATAGTTTCGCCATGTCCGTCTATTCTTCCGTCCGTCCGTCCGACTGCGGTTCAGCACAAAAATATTGGTGCTAGAAAGTTGTAATTAATTTCATCGATAAAGTGGAAAAATTACAAAAAAAACATAGTTATAGAGATGATCAATTTTTTTTCGTCTTCCCTATTGTGTGGGACATCGTTGGATAGGTCTTATAAAAATATCAGGAGTGTGGGAAGACCATTTTTCGTTTTAATAAACCTTTTGTGACTTATTAAGTCACAATTAGTCAGATCCCCCTCTACCAACTAAACGGTCTTTGGTAAAAATTCAAACGGATGTAACAAAGTTAATAGGAAAACTATCACACTTAAGTTGGCTTTACGAGTAATAGTCATCCAATTGTATATAACTCGACAAACAATTCCATAGATAACAACAAACATGATTTTCTTCTTTTTTGATGGAACATGGTACGGAACCGTTCGTGCGCGAGTCCGACTCGCACCTGGCCTGTTTTTTTTATATTATAGAGCGCGTACAGTAATTTTCATTAGGTTTTAATTAAATATTTATAAGGGTTTTGCCACAGTCACAATTTGAATAAGTATAGAAAACTTCCTCCATAATAAAATTCACAGAATTAATGCTGAATTTTGTGATTTTTTGTGATTTACCAAACTCAAAAAAAACACATACATATAACAAAAACATATTCTATTGACGATATTGAATAACAAGAAAGAAAAAAAATGCATTCTACTGATATCATTTTTTTTCTTTATAAATCACCATTCTCTATACATTAGATAGGTAAATTTGTATTCAATGTGTAGTAATATCGTCTTTACATGTTTACTTTTCTCATTCGAGACATGTTTGTGAATCTGTTTATACAGATATTGGGAACATCTTCAAAGTATTATATTCCCTAGTCATAAGATGGAGAAGGTCACAATAACACGTGTGTTTATCCCATTACGGATTATCTACAGGTCATAGAGCGATATCGAATGACTGACCTACTTCGATGGTTATACCATAGGTATTTGTGATAAAGAGAGATTGTGATTATTCTACAAACGAAAAAAAAAACAATTTTAGTTAGTTAGTTCGATGAAGTACAAGCTACGAATGTACGAGTATATAAAATTATTGTTTTTAATATGAAACATTTTGTGTTGACATTAATGATATTTTCTCTTATAAAAATAAAAAATACTTAGTGCTTTGTAGAGCGGTTTTCGTAATTTAATGGGATTGAAACTACTACATACTACTACTATCTACCTGATACTACCTGGTACTATCTACCTAAAATCCAATATTATTAGTGCTCTATCTTCCGCAAACAGTACAGTGGAAAAATGCAAGGAGATTCTATTAAAAATTAAATAAATATAAGCAGAATCGGCCTACTAAGCGTTTGTTTGGTTGTATATAGGGAAAAACGGGCAATTTTCATATTATTTGATAATTTAAAATAGGAGGTTGATTTTATTAACTTGCCTTAGCACTGGCCTGCTGCATGAGTAGACCCCTAAGTTGTTCTTGTTGGGCATTCTCTTCAGCCGCTTTGAGGTTTTGCGAATAATGCGCTCGAAGATAATCGATATTAAACTTGATCTCCTGAAGAAAGGCTATCGCTTCTTCTTTTGTCATCTAAAAATACATGTAAATCGTTAAAAGAACATGGCAAAATCAAAATGATTCTACACGAATTCACATTGTCATGAGTTTTATGTATATGTAGGTGGGTGTTTTCACTTTCTCGCAGATTCAAAGTTAATACTTAACCTACTCTTTATCTGAACTTAACTAAGTAAAATATCAAGTAAGTATTATTCATATTTAACCAACATTTCTGCCACGAGAAGCAGAAAACTCATTTCGGTTGAGATATTCTCTTAATTTAGAATTATTTAAATAAATACAGAAAATGCAGCATTATAATGTAAACGTTATTGTTGCAAATCAAATTCACCATTCCTTCCTGCAAGAAATCTTCAATAGCAGTTGTGACACCACGCTCATCGCCAGTCCAGAATACATATTCTGCCATATCCAGAGGAGAATACTGAACTCCAGTGTAAGAAGAATAGTGATCCACCTGAGAAATAGTAAATAAACATAATCTTAGAAATAAATTCCAATGCAAAACTAAGAAATAATTTCAAATAAAAGGTATGAAGCAGATATACACAGGAAAATTATAAATAAGCAATTCCAAAACCTAGATGAGAAAAAATCTTATTCATTATTTTGATTCTATTAACACATAAAATCATACGGCGGATAACCAGAAATTTTGAAATAATTTTACTGACAAAATATGGTTATGTCGTTACCGTTTTTCTCGTATCAAAGTTCCCATACGACTTTATTGTAAAATATTTTCCTAAATTCACGTTAAAAATGTTTTATTCAAAATGGTAACATTAGACGAACAGATAAATCTAATATAAATAACTTTCATTCTATTCTTTTTAGAATTTATCAATTTAAATTTAGTCTTAAATAAAGAGTCTTCATTTAGATCACAATCAAGAGGCCTAAATTAAATACTCTTCAAGTCGTCGACAGAAATAGAATAACAATGTTCGCTATCTAAAAATAAACTTGTTCAGTTTTCTAAGTAATTTAATAAGAAATACTATTTTTAATTCGTTGATAATTGTCTATTAAAATATGTTAGTTTCCGCCCCTAATGTTTTACAAACATATTCATCTTGACATAATTTGTAGAGCTAATTTTAAAAATTAGACTTTCAGATTTTACTCTATAATTTTAAACTCAGATAGACCGTGTGGTGTCTTATAAAATTCTATTATTTCCTTTTTTTTTATTAGGGTAACACGAGAGAATAAAATAATAACAGAACATTACTTACATTATTCTTTGTCTCTTTAGTAATGTCAGCATTGAAAGCACGCCGTGTTGCGGTGTGTCCATTCTGGGGGTTAGTTGTCAAGGAGCCAGGTTGCACAAGCCTTGCTGCTCCATGGAATACCTGCGTTATAGGTACTTAGCACTAATGGTATATGATTTTGGTTGATTTAAGTTCGAGGTAACATTGGTATATTATAAAAATCGTAAAAGTATTAACTACATTATTTTAAGCGTTTTTAAATTTAATGACCTCCGGTTTTTATTTGAAGCAATCTTTAGAAGGAATCGAACTTGATTTTTCTCACAACTTTTAGTTAGCTGAAGCGCTGTGAGACATTGGAATAAGGTCAGGGTTATCAAGCGGGCCGTAATTGACCGTAGCATCATAAAATCCTATATCAACTTTATAGGCTATTTTGAAGAAAAAATCTTATAAAATTTCATACAGTCATGAGGGTATATTGTTCCTTTAAGATAAATAAAGACTGATAAGCAACATCAAATAAACTAACCTTAGTAGTTTGTTCTTCACTAGCTGCTGTTGTCGCTGCGGTAGCCTCATGTACGCTCACATGAGCACCATCTTGAACTAAAACCTTGTGAATGCCTTCAGAGGGAACGTCCAGTTGAGAAGAAGCATGTACGAGCGGTTTCTCATCACCCATTGCGTCAGCTGAAGCATGCTCCTCCAAACGCGACACCAATTCACCATTCTCTTTAACGGAGTCTGTTATGACAAAAAACTACGCCTTTTAGAACAAACAATAGATTATTTAACAATTTATTAGTGTTTTGCTTTGGAAAACTTCATGAAGCGATTATATTGTATTGTCAAAAACTGTTGCTCCGAGCTCCTATGTGCTTCCAATTATTTTATACTAGCTGTGAATTCTGGCCTATGTCACCTACGTAAGTTGTAGCTTCTCATGGGTAAAAATAGTTATTATTAAAGGAGTAGTTACGGAGCCTATTCATTGCACAAAAGAAAAAAAAAGAAAATTTTCCTCTTTATAATAGTTATATGGCCATCTGCAATCATAAAAACAACAATTTCGCAATGTCCAGTCACCAAAAAGTGGTAATAGGCTGTCGGTATTTGGTAATGAAAATTTTGGTCACAATCAAGATTAGTAAAAATCGTCATGATATAAGGAAAAAATCGGACACCCAGGAGGGCTTCGCACAAAAATTAAATTAAAAAACCATATACATACTTTTCAAGATGTTTTTATGTATCGTTAATCGAAAAATGTAATATATAACTATTATATACATAATATATTTATTTACTTTAAGGCTAAGTGGTTTTGAAGATCAATATGGAAAGGAAAATTTACACATATTTTCTTTATCACAAAAGTATTTGGCATGAAATTGTAAAAAAAATATCTGGAATTCTCACAATAAAACAGTTCATTTGATATGTCATACAAACTACCTAATGGGCTGGCTTTATTTACATTAAAAGAGCTTAAAATTCATCCATTCACGATGCCTTTGGGTCACCGACTTACATATCAACGGTGAAGTAAATCCCTCCTAACTAACATGTCAGACAGACAACCGAGTGATGTGACAAGGGGTTAATTTTCTACCTTTTAAAAATTATGGACATTCATCTACTGCAACTTGATAATTATGAAGAAACTAAATAATTTTAAGATACACGACATACATACAGTCAACCGCACGTCAAGCTATCAAATTAATCTACTTAATTTAAAACCTTCATATGTTGCTGGTAGAGTTGAAAATCGATTGCGGAAAATAGATTTTTGCCACGACCAAGAGTAAAACGTTACTGTACTGGTATATTAGGTTACCTTTTGAAAGTGGTTACCTCAAAACATCATTACAGTCAATAATTTACTTACCAAGCCTGTGGTACTCCACGTGTTCGCTTTTTAGGTCTGAACCCTTAACTTCCGCTGTAACAAACGAAGGGAAATTATATTAGAACTGTTATTATTATTATATTAGAACGGTGATTTTATTATATCGTCAAAGTAACATGACTCAAAGATAATATAATAAAACTGGTCATATGTGGGTGTTTACGTGAATAAAATAGGTTTGTTTTTAAAAGAACACTTTATAAACTTATTTTGACGCTGGAAATGCTTTACGCTTATCCGCTCCCCCTAGGGCGGGGTCAGCGGGTTATGTGGGACTCTCCCCTGCGGACCCACCCCAGAATGGGGCAAGTTACATACCCGCTAAAACTCATGTTGTCCCTCTCCATGGAGGCGATTCACGGGGATACACCGAAGCCCACTTCCCGCGCCGTTCGCCCTCATTTCAGTCCACTCCTTGGGGGGGCAAGTCTCTCTGCGGGTAGGGCAATACGACTCCGAAACATTTGAGACATACCGCCTAGACAGGGAAAGGGTTTGCAATGCCCGGATAGCGCGCCGAACCAGCCGAACTGCCCCCGACTAAAGACTGGAAATGCGCAACTGTGCAGTTCCACAAGCACAACTCTTGTCATAAACCTCCCCCCATGGGTCGATTCGTCCTCAGGTGTCCAGCCCGAGTTCACCCCTTCACAGCTCCGAAGAGCGGAGAGGCCGAATCGACCGGTCATCGGTGTGCGCAACCCCTCTGGCAACACCAACCAGCAAGTAAGTCCCCAGGCAAGTACGAAGGTCACCCAGGTTTCCCAGGTCACTGCATCACCCTAGGCGCTAGCCTACGTATTGCTGACATACGGCAAATATAAAATAATGCAAATTACGACACAATAACTTTTTTCTAATTCATTACTTTTTTAGTTTATTGGTGAAATGGGTAAAAAGTTAGTAATAGATATCACGAATAAATAAAACCCTTTTTTAGAAAACGCAGGTAACTGCACCGAAAGCCTTAAACCAGATCTTTCCAACCACCCTGTCTTGAAAAAGACAGGTTAATGTGGAAAGTCTACCAGGTAGAACCTGCTGCGGTTCGGTAGGAAGAACAAGGCATCCTGCAAGAAGAGCCCGGTTTCTACTTCCGCGCTGGGACTACTCTCGCGGAGGGGGAGGGTGGAGAGGAGTCGCTCTCTGCGGAGTGGCAAATACTTCGATGAATAACAGCCTTTTCCCAGACGGTGGACCATCCCCGAAGGCTAATTCCACAGGGGTTCTGGTGGGATTTCCGCCGATCCGCAGAGGGAAGGGATGCGTCAATACGCGATCCCAACTCCTTGCCGCCTTCGTTTGGAAATTGCCACCCGGGTCTCTAACCTGGGTTTTCTGAGGGCTTGTTCCAAGGCTATACCCTCGGGCCTCCCTCATAGCACTCTCATTACCGCGGCCAAAGGGACCCTGGCGCCCCTAACGTTGACGTTGATATGCAAGCATAATCTAGTCGGCGCCGGGCAAAGAGAATCCCCAGCCCCCATGTCGCATCTGTTGCCGCTCATACTAATACTCATCATCTTACTAAATACACACAATCACATATATACAAATACAGAACCAAACACATATTTGCACAAACATATCTACATCCTCACACCCGCACATATGCACACACAGGCATACATATGCACACACGGGGAAAAGGGGCGTGGACCTGCCGACACGGCACTCGCTAAGTGTGGATACCATAGCGGCAGGACAGAAGTTTCAGGGCATCAAGATTTTGCCAAACAGAAGGAATTAACTAAAAATAATACTTTATTCTTAATGAATGCTTAAAAAATCTCCACACGAACCCACGACCTTTTAGCTATCGGGTTTTAGCTGCTCTAACTACTAAGTTATAGGACTGACGAATTTGTCAAGCACTTTTCGCTACTAATGATCGTATTTCCATTATACTGGTAAATTTGCATTAAGAACATTTACCAGGATAGCTAGCATTGTAAATACAAAATTAATAAAAATATAATGAAATTACATTATTTTATTTACATAATCAATGATTTCTCAATAGTGTCTCAGAAATATTTACTTTACTTACACAAAAGGTATATTTAAGTAAGGTTTCCCGGGGGCCATTAATGAAGATAAGAATAGTAACACATTTGATTTGGAAAAATAGACACATATAAATACCAAAATAAAAGTAATTTTTTGAGAATAAATTATTTTGAGCGCCCCATTTCTGAACCCACTTAAAACCATTATGACTTAAAATTAAATTAATTCATTATTGTAAGCTATATAAGCAGAGATTAAACAATCATTTTAAACGAGACTTTTACTAAAACTAGCAAGAGTTAACTTGAAACCTGAGCGCAATTGGTAATACACAACGGCGCTCAGGTCTCAAGTTAACTCTTACGGGCTACACCTGCCAATGAAGATGATTATTGAAACGCAACTTTATAGTAATCAAGCAGAGCATCTTTTATTTTAAATAAAACAAACAACATTGATTCTTATATAAAAAATAATGTGAAAGATGAATCTGCTGCTGTTTAATAAGTCTGTTGATATTAGGTTCCAATTTACTCAAGAACAGTCGTAAGTCGCCACGTTCACGGTAACAAGCAAACGATTTCTCTTTTTAGTAAGCAATGTTGCCACAGCACTAAATCCATATTCAGACAAATATGACGATGGGAATGCTATCAAGAATCGTAAAACAATTGACCATAATCCAGGGTACAATTGCGGGATCGGTTTTTGTAGCCAAAATTCTTGGTAACAATTTTTGAACTTTATTTTTTATTTTCTCGTTTTTGCCAATTCTATAAGTTCTACTTCCAGTTGAGGTGACATTGCTGTGTTGACATTTGAAAACAGATCCAACACCCAGTCTAGTATTTCAAAGTTCATAATGTCCTGATAGCGTTCGATAAAGTCAATATAGAGGTTTTCCAAATGTTGGCAGTAGGCAAATAAATCAACGTTATTGCAGGATTTTAAAAAATTCGGAAATTGTGAAAGTCACGTCTGCTCATATTCTTTTTGTGTAGAAGCAGTTTGGCTGCTACAGCAGCAACGACGTTTTTTGTTTTAAATAAATTTAGTTCATCGCCTAGCAGTTGGACATTCATGTCCTTGAACAATTTATATAGGTCTATCATATAAGCTTTATCATTCTTTGATGTATTGAGCTTGTTGTGCAATTCTGTTTCCAATAACTCTAACACAGAGTTAAACAGCTTGTAAAATCAAGTCAGACAATTGTCACCTGATAACCGACAATTTTCAGTATAAAACAACAAACGATTAAAATCTTCGTCATTAGTAACACAAAGCTGATGAAATAATCTATCATTCAAAGAGCTGTTACGAATTTTATTGACTGCTTCGATGACATATTGCAGTTATTGAAATAGTCGTTCAGTTAATTTTCTAGCGACAAAATGTTGTCTATGAATAACTTAATGTACAGCAAGGGACATCTAGAATTTGGTTTTTAAGTGCGCTACCAACCCTTTATGGCACCCTGCCATAGCCAGATAGCCATCCGTAGCAACTGATATAACATTTTTCAAGGGAATCTCTTTCTCATTACGGTCTCTTTTCTAGCAAACAATAGTTCTTCACATATTTTCTCATCTTTAATAAACCTCACGTAAGACAGCGACAATGCTTCATTAGTTGGTAAAGTGGACTCATCGAGTATCGAGAATTGATTTGTTCTTAGGTAATCACACAATGATTTTCATTGTGTGATTATTCACATGATCTTGCAGTCTTGAAGTCTTCATTGTTTTTTTTGTGCATTTTATTCACATGATCTTGCAGTCTTGAAGTCTTCATTGTTTCATTCGAAAATGTTTTATACATATAGTTATATTTTTCACTGTCTCTTACTGCCCCCCCTTTCGGCCTGCAGCGCCCACAAGGGGGCGTTATCGTCCAATTTGGGAAAGACTGGTTTACAGTATCTCAGACGTCCATTAATAAACTAAGAACCATTGTTTTTATTTTTAAAAGTCTTTAAAGAACATATTTTGAATTATAATCGTTTAGAAATTTTTTTTTTTATTGTAGGTCACAGTGGTAAAGACGTAGCATGCCAACTTCTTGTATAATTTCTGATGTGCCATTTTCGTTCAGGTCGAATTATAAAAACCAAATTTCAAAAATCGAATCTAATATTTACCCCATTCTAAACGCGCGCGCGCGTGTGTGCGTGTTAAGGTGGCTGGCCCCACATCAATAACCTTTGTCAGCAGCAGTAGCTGCTCTCAAAAAATATTTAGATGTAAGCATTTATTATTATATAAATACTAGCGGATAAGGTAAATACATTGATTATTAGTTAGTTGTTACTCTGTTCATTTAATAAAATTAATTATATTTTTTATTAAAACCGGTGTCGACTACTTAATTGGCGCAGCCGGTAGGATCTCAGTCGTTGGTTCACCTATAGTAAAAGTCAATAATTTTATATACCAACGTCCGTTTCAACGGTTTGACTGGGATCACCGAACAAATAAATTTATTAAGATTTTGATACCGGGATCAGTGTAACGTTACGCCTAATATTCCATATGATGGGAGTAGCTGCAGGTCTGTGAGTAAAACTTTTCACTTTCCTTTCGTATATTCGTACTATATTATATGTGTTATTTAAAATTGGAAAACGCTTTAATAACGCGAGGATAACATTTCCATATAATTAAATCAGATTCAACATAAAATATACAAAAATAGGTCAATTTAACTAATCACTAAATTGATTTATTTTAATTTTTATTATTGTGTACTTACTTTATGTTTTTCTATTTCTGATCTGTTTTTTATTTATTTTTTTATTTTTGCGTGTGTATTGATTTTGTTTTCAAAAATGGAAAATATAAACCGCTTACCAACCGAAATGGTAAACATTATTCCTTTATTTAACGGAGATGCTAGACAATTACCTTTGTTTATAAAGAAATGCCAATACATTCTGAATATGTTTAGGGGTGATGATAGACAAAATGATATTTATTCCACGTCATAACTAGTAGGATAACCGGACCAGCCGCGAGTTTAGTCGGGGAACGGGACAATATAACATCATGTAATGAGATGAAAACTCTTCTTGACCAACATTTCGGAGATCCACGTACTGAAGAGTGTCTCTTATTAGCATTGGAAGGTCTTAAAATTTTAAGGGGAGAAAGTTATTTAGAATTTTGTCATAAAATACAAAATATTAGAAGCATGTTAATAGCAAAAGTTAACGAGATAATTCAAGATATTAGTTTACGAAGGGCTAAGCAGGATATTTACAATCATTCGTCATTAAACGTATTTTTATATAATTTACCACCCTTTTTGGTACGATTAGTTAGAATAAAAAATGGGCTTACATTAGAGGATGCTTTGAAAATTGTTTTAGAGGAGGAAAATTTCCAAACGGTTTACGATCACAAAAATAGAAACAGGGACTTTAGAAACCCACGTTTTAATACGCGTCCAAATAAAATGTAATTCCAGAATAGATCTCAGTATAATATAATCAGAGTTATAATACATCAAACAATTATAATAATTCACGATCGATTCCAAATAGTTTTCCTAATACAAACAGCAATTCTAATTATAATACACCGAATAGTTCTATACAATCGCAAGGTACATTTAGATCAATAAATAGTTTACATAATAATCAGTGGCAAAAACCGTCGGTCGCGGTCAACGCCTCTGCAAAATCAGCATTTCAGGGACAATGCACCGCGCAATATGAGTAATTCACCATATGTTGGTTCAGGTAGCAATATTGACGTAACAATGCGAACGGCTAGCTCTAGACGAGTAAACTATACAGACCACGGCGAACAAAGTCCAAATGATTTTAATAACGATTTAGTCGCGGAACAATCGAACGAACACGAAACCGTGGGAAATTTTTTTACAATGGCCTTTCGAACAGAGAAAGAATAACATTAAATCATAATAAAATATTAAATTTGCCACACATACGAGTACCAGAAATTAGAGCTATATTTATGTTAGATACCGGTAGTACACGATCGTTTATTAGTCCAGAGAAAGCTAACGAATTTTATCGCCAGTTTAAAAGCCACGAACCATTTGAAGTCGTGAGTACACATGCATCGAGTAAACATAGTGAGGTCGTAAATATAACTTTACCTAAAATATTCGGTACCAAGGATATACATAAGTTTTATGTATATAGCGTAGACAGTAGATATGACGGCTTAATAGGTAGCGATCTATTAAAACAATTGGATGCAAATATTGATATGAAGTCACAAATTTTACATACAAGAAACGCGAACATTCCTATTATTTATTCGCCACCTATGAGACACATTTACGAAATACCACCACGTAGTGAGTTACGCGTTAAACTTCCCGTAAATTTATTAGATGGCGATGGTATTCTAGAATACACACAATTCACAGAAGGAGTTAGGATGCCTGCCGCATTAATTAACTGTAGAAAAGGCTTTGCTACCACAGTCATTCAAAATTATACATCAGAACATACTTCTTTAACAATAACTTCACCTTTTCGTGTACAAAGTTATAACTATAGAGACCAAATTAACGTCAATTATACTACAGATAACAGCCAAATAGATACACTATTAAGACGAAACCTTTCCAAATTAAAATTAGATCACATGAACGAAGAAGAAAAGAAAGTAATAAGTGATATTCGTCAGGAATATAAAGATATTTTTTATTGTGAAGACATATCATTATCCTTTACAAACCAAGTAAAGCATGAAATCCGCACAACTAACGAAGACCCAATATATATTAGAGCACATAGGCTACCACCTTCTCAAACCATGGAAATAAAAAACCAGGTTGAGAAAATGTTAAAAGATAACGTTATTCAGGAATCCCTTTCTCTCTGGAGTGCACCAGTTCATTTAGTACCAAAAAAAGTAGATGCAACTGGTAAACAAAAATGGAGAATGGTAGTCGACTATAGGTGGTTAAATGAAATAACAGTAGACGATAAGTATCCACTTCCTAATATTACTGTTTTATTTGACATGTTAGGGAAAAGTACATACTTTACTACGCTAGATCTCGCGAGTGGGTACCATCAACTTGAAGTCAAAGAGTCTGATAGATCAAAAACAGCGTTTAGCACACATATACATTACAAATTCAACAGAATGCCGTTTGGTTTGAAAACAGCCCCTGCTACTTTTCAGCGAGCAATGGATAACGTGCTGAGAGGACTGCAAGGTATCCACTGCCTAATATATTTAGATGATGTCATCATTTTCTCAAAAAGCCTACAAGAACATACACAAAAACTACGAGCCGTTTTCGATAGATTTAGACAAACTAATTTAAAAGTTCAGCTAGACAAATCACACTTTTTAAGAAAAGAAGTTTTATATCTGGGTCATACAATTACTACCGAAGGATTAAAACCTAATAACGATAAAATAGACGCAGTATTAAACTACCCTTTACCCAAAACCGTTACCCAAATCAAAAGTTTTCTCGGATTAATAGGATATTATCGTAAATTTATTAAAGATTTTGCAAAAATAACTAGACCGCTAACTGTTTGTTTAAAGAAAGGTCATAAAATCATTCTAGATGACGAATACAAACAAAGCTTTGAGACTTGTAAAAAACTTCTAACTAACGCACCATTACTACAGTTTCCAGACTTTAAGAAACCTTTCGTTTTGACTACTGATGCTTCCAACTTTGCGATAGGAGCTGTTTTGTCTCAGGGTCAATTAGGTTCAAATAAACACGTAGCATACGCTAGTCGAACTTTGAGTGATACAGAATCCAGGTACAGCACCATAGAGAAGGAATTATTAGCAGTAATTTGGGCAGCAAAACACTTTCGACCATACCTGTACGGTAATAAATTCATAATATATACCGATCATAGGCCTCTAGCTTGGTTGTACTCTTTAAAAGAACCTAATAGCAAATTAACACGTTGGCGTTTACGATTAGAAGAATATGATTTTGAAATTCGTTATAAAAAAGGACCTCAAAATACCAATGCAGACGCATTATCTAGAATAAGAATCAACGCAATAGACGACGATTTAGATTCAATGATAGCTAATCCAGATATAGACGAAAAAAAGGTAGAAGATGTAGTAAAAGAGTTAGAAGATTTTCTTAACATAGAGACAGTCGAAATTTCAGACTCCGACGATAGAGCTACAGCTCATTCCGTATCGAATAGAGAACATGAGGGTATACCAATATTAAATGAAGCCATTGACACTAAACCCAAACAAATACTAGTGTTCAAATGGTTTATAGATAAAATTTCGGTTAAAGACATCTCAAATAAAAAACAAAGAATATTGGAAGTTCATATGCCTTTAAACAAAGAACACCTAGTTAAGGATTTTTTCAAGGAATACGTAGATTTTAAACATAAATATTATATTTATTTTGAAGATCCATCATTTAGACCTATTTTTTCTATAGAAGTCATACAGCTTTATAAGAAAAATAGCGTAAATTTAGTCGAATGTACAGAACGTGTAGTAAATTTAACAAACTCAGAAGCTGATCAATTAGACGTCATACGAAAATACCATGAAGGCAAAACCTGCCATCGAGGTATAAACGAGACCTTCGCTAAATTAAAAAGAAATTATTGGTGGAATAACATGAAAGAAACTATTACAGGTGTCATTAACAGTTGTGATAAATGTAAAAAAGCAAAATACGAAAGAAACCCGATAAAACCTCCTCTTCAGTTGACACAAACACAACACGCACCTTTTGAAGAAGTTTTTATAGATTTACTATTTATTGAAAATAAATATTATTTAACATTAGTAGATGCTTTTAGTAAATTAGCTCAAGCAATATTTATTCCAAATAGAAGTACACCAGAAGTAGTGAGAGCATTAATTATTTCAGTATGTACGGGGTCCCCTATAATATCAATAGTGATTCAGGTGCTGAATTTAATAATGAACTTCTTAAAGAACTATTTAACTTATATAAGATAGAACTACACATAGGAACCCCAAATAACCCTAGCTCCATGGCAGTAGTTGAAAGGTCTATTCTACAATAATTGAAATATATCGAATGGCCAAATACGACAAAAGTGAATTAGATGCTTGCTCCGTAATGACATATGTCATAATGTTTTATAATAATACAATACATAGCGCAACTAACTTTACACCTTTTGAAGTAGCTTTCGGTCACACAGAATCCGGTCATTTATTTGATATTGATAGGGAAAGAAATTTACTACAAAAATTAGTACAAGACCATAGAAAACGACTAACTATATTATATGAACAAATTAAAGAAAAACTAGAAACAGATAAGGCAAAAGTAAGAAACAAGAAAGGCGGTGAAGAACCGCCACAAATTAAAATAGGAGATAAGGTCTTTATGAAAAATACTAGGACTAGAAAAGCAAAGGATTTAACACGGTTCGAAGAAGCAAAAGTGATAGGAGAATGTAGTAGGAATATCATACATCATACCAGTAGAATAAAAAAATAGAAAAATAGAAAACGTCCTCCACAGGTGGCTCGTGCTGGTGCCAGCCAATCCGATACTCGGTCTAAACATCCAGAAACTAGACCCAAATCCAGGAATAGCACCGATTCGGATTGGGACAGCAGTGATGAAAACTGATCACTGGAGTGTAATTAAGACTTAAGATTAAGATTTATTAGAGAAACAGTTAAGTAATAATATAGAAGAGTATTCTAAGATTAAAATGTTAGTTTTAAAGAATAGTGATTCTCGTAGGGAATTATTTAGCCTAATGATACAAATAGAATCAATGATAAGATTAACCCAAAATAGGCTAGCTCAGATATTACCATCATATAGATATAAACGCGGCCTCTTAAATCCCTTAGGTTCATTAATTAAGATAATTTCGGGTAATCTCGATCAAGATGATGCCGAAAAATATAATAAAGAAATTAGTAATCTCCAAAATAAAGAACATTGTGTAGAGAAAAAGATATCATTAATGAAGGTAGAAGTAGAAAAATAAATAAATGTTACGAGTGATATTAATCTTAACGTAAAACACATAAACTTTCATAATCATAGGATAGAAACAATTATTAATAACCAAACTAATATCTTCAGTTCTCTCCGATTAATGAATAGCATGTACCAAATTTCAAATAACTTTCGAACCCTTTATCAGATTATTTACGAAATAGAAACGACAATTGCATTCAGTAAACTTCACACGCTACATAAATTTATTATCAACTCAACCGAACTTTTAAATATCTTGACAGAAGTAGAAAATCACGCAAAACTCCTATACAAAGTCAGTAACGAAAATCTAGTTTATATAGAAAATGATATGGAAATGAAAACCTATATGGATCCACATAAATTAGTATTTATTTTAGAAATTCCATTAATCGAAGATAACACATATAATTACTATAAAGTTTTACCAACCCCCGAGTATAACCCTACCCTGAACAAAACCTTATTATTCCACAATATCCTTTCCTAATGGTGAAAAGAATGAAATACATACCTGTAGTACAATCCTGTCAGGAAATAGAAGATGGACGATATCTCTGTAAAAATGAAGACATCTCACACTATACCAGAGAACTCTGCATTGAACAACTCATGTTATTGAAAAACAACTATAACGCCTGTAAACAACAAGAGGTCACAATAGAGAAGGTGAAGATACAATCAATAACGAAAAACCAATGGATGCTGTATTCAGAAGAAGATGTAATCATAACCGAAAGATGCCAAGACGAATTTAGAAAACATTCACTCCAAGGAACTTACATTTTAACACGCAACAGACATTGTGAAATACAATTAGGCGATACACTCATAACGCCTGTCACCAACGCATCGAACATAGTGCTAAACCTACCATTAATCCAGTTACCAGCTCTAAACGTCGGGAAACACCAGGAAAATCGGGACACTAATTGGAAAACCATTAATTTAAAGAACGTGGATTTGCGAGATGTTAGTGAAGTGATGAACAATTTAAAGTATATAGACACACAATACGAGAGTGTAAACGTAATAATAACAAAAAAACATAAGTGTATGGACCATAAGCATTTACTTATTAGTTATAATATTAACTTGTCTATTTGTAATTTTATTTCTTAAATATAGAAATTTTCAAAGACCAACTGAGTTGCCCTTAGAAAATTCCTCTTTAGGGGAGGGAGGTGTTAAGGTGGCTAACCCCACATCAAACCTTTGTCAGCAGCAGTAGCTGCTCTCAATAAATATTAAGATGTAATCATTTATTATTATATAAATACTAGTGGATAAGGTAAATAAATTGATTATTAGTTAGTTGTTACTCTGTTCATTTAATAAAATAAATTATATTTTTTATTAAAACCGGTGTCGACTACTTAATTCGCGCGCGCATATTATGTATTCCCGATTCTCGTAGATGAATGAATTTTATAATCGGTCCAATAGTTTCAGTGCCTTTCCAATGCAAGCAAAGAAGCAATCAGATCTTTACTTTTTTGTAATTAGAGTATAGATTATTATTATTATTAGAGTATATCTCGAGCAAATAAACAAAATATTTTTATTTTATTTTATCAATTTCGCATTCACAAAGCTACTTAACAATATTTTTAATGAAAAATGCTTCTTTCGGCTGTTTGGGTGGATTGCCCGAACATTGATATGAATGATATGAATATGAATGATATGAAGCACCAATAGTAGCGAAAAAGTAACAACTGCTTGAAAAGTTCGTCGGTCCTGTTAGGTCCTGGGTAGCTCAGTGCTATGATTTTAATTAGGTAACTACAACATGCGGTTTATATACAGTTTAAATTTGTTATATCATAAAAGCCATTTAATTATAATAACTTACCAAGTTTTAACTTTTGTAGTTGCTCCACTGGTACATCCTGAAAAAAGAAACAATATGATTCACTGTGTCTAAACTGTTGTATAATAAACTGAGTGTTACCTACAGGAGGTATCATAAATAAATATGAGTTACTTCTACCTTAAAATACTTAACACATCAATGAAGTGTGGCTTAAGGAAATATATGAAAGGGAAATTTTTTTACGATGATTTTATTTTGATGGTATTTTATCAGGGTATTATTAACAGGTACATGACAGTGACATGACATCCCTCGATTACATTGTTATACGATGTAATGTAAGAATACGGTTTCGATTACGATGTTGAAGGCGGTGGGTAACAAAAAACTATTGACAAAATAACAATTTCTTCCTTATTTAGAAAGAAGGTGGGCTGGTAGTATACTTTATTTGTGATTTACTTATTTTGAATTTGGACAATGTTATTCAAGATTGAAATAGATGACTATTTTATTAAACTTTATTAAAATTAAAATAAAGCATGATGACAAAAAGAAGATTTTGTAAATAATTTACCTAAAGCTCTTGAATATTTGTGTTTTTTTTTTTTGGCAAATGACTCCATTTTAAGCACATTTACTATAAAGAATCGAATTGTCTCCAAGATGTCGGTCATTTTCGATTCGAATGTAAATGTAATGAAAAAGTAAATGGTTACTATAATTCTAATTTATTTACTTAAATTTATATTTATCAAATAGTTGTTCAAATTAAGAAATAGCAGAATTTCATCTGCCCACTTTAACAAGCAATATATTTGAAAAATATAAAGCACAGAGCTCAGAATATCTTTGTGATTTCATTTGTAGGTAACATAATGGTATAGCTTTCACAAAAAAAGAGCCAACCTAAATTTAAAAAAAAAATGTATCGAGTGTATCGAGGTGTACTACGATTTAAAAACAGCGGTTAGTTCACTGATGCTCGATAGCACAGAGACTTGAAATTTTTATAAAGTTAAAATACAATGGAAACGGATTAATATATTGTATTTGATCTATTTTGCATTAACATTGCTATACTGGAAAATATTCTCAATGCAAAAAGCTTCAAGAATTGTTTGTAAACCAATTTTCATCTTAATCGAAAGTTGAAAGTATTTCTCTCGCCTGTTTGGGGAAATTACCTAAACATTGATGAAAATACGAAAATAAAAAGTGCTTCAAAAATTTGACAGTTCTGTTGGGTCCTGGGAAGCTCAGTGGTTGGAGCAATTGCCAGGATTGCGAAAGATCGTGGGTTCGAGTTCCATCTCAAAGTACCTGGGGCTGGTGGAATTTTTAAGCATTTTACATTAAGAATATAATGAAAATAGATTTAAAATATCATATTATTATAGATATTAAGACTATTAACAAATACATTTGCACAATATTTTGACAACTTGAAAAATCAAAGGATTTATAAAATGCTAATAATTATATAAAAAAAGAAAATACATCTAGTTTTTGATTTGAAGAAAAATGGAATGAGATTAATTGAAAATGGCGAGTCGCTTTACTAATAAGCCGTTGTAGATCAAATTAAAACGAAGCACCTAAACTGAGGGGCGTAAATAGGTCGACAATATTAAGTTGAATCGACATACTCTTCGACAACTTACCTCATAATGCAGTTTTAGGTTTAATACAAACAAAACCACTACATAATATTTCCACTCTTCCCTGGAGCAGCTTACTTAATAATTCGTATGATTGTATACTAAATGGTTTTTACCGATGTAGAGGACATACTTTTACTTGTACTTTTGACTTTCACAAGAGTTTACAGCCTAAATTGTATAAATAATATTGTAAACTGTATAAATAACTATATTATAATTTCATATCATTCTGATCTCCTATCAACATAATAATGGTGTCATAAAACATGAAGTTTCATAATAGTCTAAGGGAGTTTATAATTTGCGTGCAAATGTCGAGAACAAATTATGTTGTGGCATTAAAAGTTGTGCAAAAAAGAAATTTGTGTAGAAAGCACTGTCCTCGAATGATTTGTTTATTTTCATGCAATTATAATATAAGATGCCAGTTATATTACGATTACAATGAAAACAAACAGAATCACCTATTCTGTGAAGATTATCAGAATCCTTTATTCGAAACGTCGTCATAGGTTATTATATGTTACTAGCTACTAACCCTATTTTATCCCCTTAGGGGTGGAATTTATGAAAATCCTTTCATAGGGGATGCCTACGTCATAGTAGCTTAATGCATGCAAAGTCTCAGCCCGATCGGTTTAAACCTCTTTTCCGTGTTCTGTGGGTTTAAAATTGACAAATTTTCATACAAACTTTCCCTCTATTTTATCCACTTGGGGGTAGAGTTGATCAAAATCCTTTCTTAGCGGATGCCTACGTCATAACATCTACCGACATGCCAAATTTCAGCACGATCCGTCCAGTAGTTTAGTCCGTGCGTTGATAGATCACTATGTCAGTCAGTCACCTTTGAGTTATATATATTTAGATATAGATTATAGACGAAAGTTGTGGAAACAATTAAATGGTCACATAAAATCTTTTTGTGATTCATTCACTTATCTGTTATAAATTCTGTAGACAAAATTCAATCTTAGTAAACTGCATTCTGAATTGTAAAACTAAATATTGTATTTTATAAATATTATACTACTATAAATATTATAAACTACTTACTAAAGTTAGTTTTCATCATTTACAATAGGTATCACTAAAACATTATTTTTATATAACAATTATAAAAAGGAATATGGTAATCTTCAATCGTTTTAAAAATGCCTCTATTATGTCATGTTGCTATTTTCTGAAATAATATCTGAACTAACATTTAAGTAAAAACAAACTTATTTGTGATGGTAAATTCTCATCTATTATCTAACTAAGGGCTTATATGTATGTTATATATCAATATATGTATTATAGAATCTATAGTATTTATGTACTTATTATTTTGTGTATGTACTTCATTTATTCATTAAATATATGTAGAGATATGATATCGTGATAAAGTTTGAGACACCATAAGCTGCCCTAATCTAATCTAATTTAGATATAATTTTTGTTCAGTTCGAAAGGTTGTCTGGAATAAATTACCATTTAGTAATAAGGCCGCCAATTGTGCATTCACATTTATAGTATCCATGTGTTTATTTTTTGTCCATTGGTATGCAATAAAGAATTTTTCATTCATTCATTATACCTACGTGTTTATGAAATCATTTAACGCACAAAAGCACTCACTAAAGGTTACTTTACACTCACATATGTAAGTACTACATAAAGTTTCTTACTGAATTGTGTACACATTTAATTTATTCTTTGAGATATAGAGATTTCTATTGTTTATACTTTAGTGTTTTCATAGTTATTATTAAGAGTATAATACTAGTTTTCCTAGATATTTTTATCTTATTTTAGTGATAAATATGACTATTTGGCTGTTTAGCTATAATACATTGCGAAGTATAGATATGCAATATTAATGATCTTCATCTTTTATTTCATTGGTCGGTAGGTATAAACTACCCAACCTTTTTGTAAACTTTTAAAACTGTTGAACTTTATCTTTTATGTTATGTCACATCTTTACGTTCGTCTTAACAGTATAAAGAACTTAACTGAAGTATAAAGAACACTACTTACCGACTTTGCGTTGGGATTCTCGGAGAGGCCTGTAACAACAAAGGAAAGTAAGAATCAATCTGGAATGAGCTCCTTAAACGTTCAAAGAAATAAAGGTGTAATTTTCTCAAATGTACTTTTCAAACAGAATCTGTTCTGTTCCCAATAGGCTTATCCATATTATTGATGGGAATTTCCTTTATACTTTATCCAATTAGGCTTACTGTCTCAAAATTATTTAAGTGATAAGTATAAATAGGGGCTGAAAGTTTGAATGGAAGTTAATAATGTAATCTTGTGGCGTTACTTTCTTTGGATATTTGATTATCGAAATTAATTAATTAATTTGAACAGAACAATTTAATATATAAGTATCAAAGTCTATTCACAAAAACAGACAGAAAAATGCTTCTAGACCAGTAAATATGGACTATTTGAATGAACCTCTTTGAAATATGAAATATGGACCTCTTTAATTTACATACATTTTTGTTATTGTCTTTGCATAGCTATTAAACATTTCTATAAAATGTAAGAATTGGATTAAATTACAACTAATATCATACTTTACTAAAGCTCCATTTAAATAGTTTACTTGATCAGAGCTTACTGGATTGTTTAATCTTTGACTACATAATTTTAGTACTCCGTGGTATTGGTAGAAACCATCGGCTTTAAGTTTGCCCACTGCTCTTCTTTTTGAGAAAATATTAAATTAATTAAAAATCCTCAACAATAATCGAAAATATA